TAGTTACCACTAGAGGTACTTTACCGATGAGTTTGGCTCCTTGCTGGATCCCGGTTCCTCCCTCCCCCCAACGATAGTATCCCGCAGCTGGTTTTAAAAGGTGGGCCAACATCATCATAGCTCTTTTATGTCCCCACTGCAGAGGCGCAGGCCTTCCTTATGGATGGTTAAGGAGGAAGGGCCATAACCTTCATGCTAGCCCATAGGGGGTTGGAGGATATTAGCTTAACGTGCACTCCGAAGCACAAAGTAACTCGAGATAATAATTTTTGGTCACCCGACCCATGCGAAAGTTGTTACCGCGACGTTTATCCATTACGCCACCGAACTTACAAGCAGGCTAACCAAGCTTCACCCTATCCTTGTCAGGACAGTGTGGTTAGAAAACCTTGGTTTAACGCTTAATGTGGATTTACCTTGCGTTACTAAATAAAAGAGATAGCGGTAGAGCCGATCATACTAGATAAAATCTTAATGCCCTCACAATCGAAGGTGAACGAAACGTCAAAAGAACTTGAACCTATACATACTGGTATCTTATAAATAAAAACATGTTTAAAAGCAATTGTATTTCTGAATCTATATTTGAAAACATTATAAAATGTTCTTCTTTGATTGACGCCATCTCAGGGAAATGGGGTTTACTATATATTGCCTCAGGTCTGGATTATGTTGTGTCTCCGTTGTATTGAGATTTCCATATTATGTATAAGTAATAGATAAGATTTGACAAATGTGGTGTAATATTGTCTAGATGCATCATCTATCTAGTTCCGGTCTATCAAAAATGGACTGATATCCGATCAAAAAATAATTCTATACTAGTATTAATACTATACTAATAGAAAAGAATATATTTGATTGTTTGTAAAATACTGGACTGATTTTTAAAATTCTTTCAACTACTGAAAGCTAAATAATACTCGGATGAGATAGAATGTAATTTACGCGGGAAGGTCTCGGGAAAACAGCTAGGAAAGAAGATTCGAGACTCGTTACGTACCGTTTTAAATGCAAACATTAGATAATAGTTTATAGTTACATTATGCTTTGATTGTCAGGTTAAAATCACAACACATGTCGTGTGTAGATTGATAGCACTGTATTGTAATGTCATAAATGGTTGATTCAAGATCATTCTCAAAGGATAACAGGAAACGTAACATATTTACTCATTCAACAGACATATGTATATACTCATAGTGTTGGTTTAATCCAGCCTAGTAACAGTATGACTTATAGGGTATTCATACAACACCATAGAACAGTATTTTCCACTATGGGTCGGTGTGGACGCTGATGGGAGATTTGTCAATTGTCGCCCAGTTGCACTAATGTCCATTAAAATTTACGTTTGTTCAAAGCGACATTACCGATAGAAATTTTCAAATTTAAAAGATTCATAAGTGCTTTAAGCCGTTTAATGAAACCCTTTGATTAAGATAAAAAATAATAAAAATCGAAGATTAAACCTTACCTATCGTTTGTCCTACTGACTGAAAGACATATTTATGCCATCTTTTTTTTTAAAGCAGCTAAGTGGTGGGTACCAAGATTCAAAGTTTTGTTAAATGCAGTGTTCGTAATGATCAAGAAAATTATTTTTTGGGTAATTATCATGATAATTATCGAATAATTTATCCGATAAATATCTACTATCTTCTCTATCAGAAAAAAACATATTTGAAAGTTGCTTAAAGATGATTCCCCTTTAATAACAAGTCCTTCAGTACATAAAGAGTTTATGTAGTGTTTTATAATTACCAAGGTATATTTATCAACATAATTATCATGCTAATTATCGGCATAATTATCACTCTGAACCCTGGTTAGATGGGTCGTTCCATTCAACTTTGGAAACCACTGCCATAGAGGTTTTGATTTACCTGTGAAGTACTTAAATGTATGCTTTGAGTGGCCAAATTTTTAGAGTTGAATTTTTTCAGCCTCAAAATGCAATAAACGTGCAGGTTGATGTTAATTTCAACTATATGTTTTGTATGATACTTTTCATTAAAAAAAAAACCCTTTTCTAGGCAGTCGGACAATCATCCATCGCTCGCTTCAAGCCGCGCTTATATGCAAAAATAAGTATTTTTTTATAACGCTTATATTTTATATGAATTAACAAAACTGTTTCTTTTAAATACATAATCTTTATTTACATAATCTTTAAATTACTTAAAAAAAAATAAAAGTGTAACACTTTTGACGTATGACCTACTGTCATGTTTATTTTCATGTCTCCTAAAAAGTAAGGGTATTACTTATACGTCCCCTATACGACTTTGAGCCATCTTGGAGCCCACGATATGATTCTATTTGTTTTTCCTTTTAATGACCTCCGTCACCGAGCGGCTCTTTTGTTGGTTTCAAAGTATGTCATTGCCATCCCTGAGGTTCCAGGTTCGGCTCTATATAAAAAAGGAACGTTTCTTTCACTCGGGTCTGGGTGTTGTGGTACCATAATTTGGATTCGGAGCATGATGACGATGTACCTATGTGATGTTGTCTAGCATTTATTAATAACATATTTTCGACATATGAACGTTAAAATTTCTAATATAAATATTTAAACTAACTTGACTGGCAAAATTAGAAAAAGTACCTTAGTGACACGAAAATGAGAAAGCAAATTTCGCGGATCAATAAAGTGCAAAAACCTTTAACTATAAATACTCGGTGTTCTATCATAGGACCTTGAAAAGTTAATGTCTACAGGCTACATCCTCTATAGTAAGTTAATAAATAATGAGAATCGATTTACCTATAATCCCCTATTATATGTAACATACTCTTTATAATTCAACTAGCTGTGTTCTCGCGACTTCGCACGCGTAAATGCTTATGATGTAACTTCCCATAGGTGAAAGTATTTTTAAAATTGGTCCACTAGTTTCGGAGCCTATTCAGTACGAAAATCAAATCTTTCGCCTTTATAATACAAAAACTACGCTTTATATTTTAAAGATAAGAAGAAAAGTGGTAGTTAATTGGTGTTGACTTAAATACGTATAAATTATAATATTAACTAATGGCGAAGGAAGTACCTACTTAATCGATTTTTGTTAATAATACCTAACAAGATTCTCGCTTTCCACTTTCGAGCGTGACCGTGATAAGGTTTTACGTGATCCAGAAGCCAAAGCTTTTTACATTTTGAGGCAGTAAGACCAAATTGATAAAAATTGCGATGTGAATATTCGTAGTCTCGAGAATGTTTTTCTTTATCATCAACAGTCTATTAACACGGCCATTCCAGCTTTTTCTCTAGATGCAAACGAATCAAATAGAGGAAAATTGCTCCGAAATCCCCAAATTTGCTGTGCCCGAATGGGTTCAGAATGATACATTTGTATTTGTGAACTTCCTAAAACTTACATTGTGGAATGCAATAAAATAAATAAATACATGGACATGACCCACTACGCGGACCCTGCAGCCGGAACTTTAAGCTCGATAGCGCAGTAGTTAACATTTAGACTACGGTAGCATTTGGACTACGGTCTAGATTGTTAAACAACTTTCGCAAGGGCCGTTCATAGGATGGGTGACCAAAAAACTAATGTCCCGATCTCCTCCGTGCTTCAGAAGGCACATTAAGCCAGTCCCGACTATATCTGCAGTCGTTTAAACCCATAGAAACATGTTATTAACAAAAATGCAAATGACTTTTATCAACAAGCGAATTTAATAAAACCGATTCTATAAAGTGTTTTCTTTCAAATGTTATAGATTTCGTTTGAAACTACCTTCATTCTATGGCACTATGCAGGTTTCATTGTGATTCATATCATCCAGGCGTTTAAACAGCTATTTAGTATAAACCCCTATCATTACGTAACACCAACGTTGTTATAAACTTGGTAATCGGTAAAGTACAACAACGATTTTATGCAACAGTCCGGGTTATGCATGCTCCACGGCGCAACGGAAACAAAATCCAAATCTCGAACCATGAAGCATTAAATATTATGATTTTATAATTGGCCGCCTTGCGCAAAACTGACAATAATTAAGTATGCCAGAGAGTAACGTCGAGCGGAAAGTGATACTGAAATTTGTACGTGACATAATCATTAAATTAAATAAACTTCAAAGGCATTTTATATTAGCATTTTGTATATGTTAGTAGGTATGATCATTCAGCATTCGCTTGCCCTTGCCCCCATTAATATTCGGGCTCGGCGCAATACTTATTAAAGAGAATTAAATAAATCGCATTTTCTTATCTATATATAACATATACATCGTGTGCGATCTTAATTGCTATTATTTTTACACTAAGATCTTCTCCATATATGACACATTAGGTCATTATTCCGTCGTGGATTGGTTTAGTTCCTATCACTAATATCCATCGCATTGTCGAGGTTATCGCATCGTTGTTTCACACAAGTATATAAAATAAGGAATACGGACAGCGTGGGTCCGGAGAAATAAAAACCGTTTTACAAGATTGCCATAAAAAACATATCTTCTAATTGGTTACTGTAATTTTATATCACTTCCGAGATACCCAGTAAACATCTTATAATAAAAGTATATTCGATATCCGTTTAATATATTACGACATCGACAACAAAAAGTAATAAGTCTTCTGACGAACATCTAATACCCATTTTGTTAATCCAACCGACTGGACTAATTTATTTAAAATCGATTGCGTTGGTACGGCAATACTGTTATGAAATATATCAAGACTGTTGATATTGTATTTACATTTTGTATGTCTATTTCGTAGGATATAATACATAACTTTACATAACCGTACCGTAGTCACCGGGATTTAGTGCAAAATTATGGTTAAGATATCTGTAAAATCTATACCTCGACTAGCACAAGTTCGGAGCCTATTAAACCGGGCTATATTTTGGGCTCATAACTCGAACATTTCAATTTAAAACCGAACAGTATACAACTCCACATTGACTTAAACCCAGAGAGCAACCCGTCTGTTTATATATTATGTTAAAATTATTTTTCTTTTTGTTTTTCAGAATGGTGATCTATGTATATCAATCCTCCATCCGCCTGTGGATGACCCACAATCGGGTGAACTGCCCTGCGAACGCTGGAACCCGACGCAATCGGTGCGCACCGTCCTTCTATCAGTCATCTCCCTGCTCAACGAACCCAACACCTTTAGTCCTGCTAATGTCGACGCTAGCGTCATGTACCGCCGTTGGCGCGACTCCAAAGGCAAGGACAAGGAGTACGAAAACATCATTAGGTGACTTGACAAGCCCTTTTATTACTATAATTTAAAAATTATAAAAATCTGTTTTAATGTCTTTTTATTTTTTCAAGGTTATTAATTTAAGAATACGACGTTACAATAGAGATAAACTCGAAACCTAGTCTTTACTCCTGTTCCCTAGTCTATTTTATAACTTTTGCCGGCGGTATCATCTGAATATTCTAATCTCCAAAACGACTTTAAAGGAATTCCAGAATTGTATTCTGCCTCTGGACATAACGTATCCATTTCATTATTTGCGGTAGTACAGTATCGTGACAGAAAGGCGTATAGGTATCGGATTGTCCTAGATAACGATCATCAAATTAGTGGTTGAAGGAGCCTGTGCTTAAATAAATCAGAATTGAACAAACTCCTTAGTACTGAATTTCTTAAAGTACCTCAGAAATAGCGCGTAACAGAGTTATTGATGCATAATCAGTCAATACATTGTGTGTGCAAGACCGCGAATCGACTTCCTCAAATCACTTAACACTTTGATAAACGTGTGCAAACAAGCGCTCGTAACATGTTCATTACGTTTTTTCCAGGAAACAGGCGCAGGTGGCGCGTATGGAAGCGGAGAAGGAGGGCATAGTGGTACCGCTCACTTTAGAAGATTACTGCATCAAAACTCAAGTCAAGTCGACGACACAGGAGCCCCAGGTTGGTCTCGTTCTTAATAACTTTGCTCTCTTCCGCTTGATCAATCGCATCAATCAATTGCAAATGTAACCGGAACCAACGAGTTAACGTGCCTTCCGAAACCACGGCCCGAGATAATAAATTTTTTGATCACCCTTCCGTGACCGACCCTTGCGAAAGTTGCTTAACGACAACGAACGCAGGCTGCGGCGCTTATCCACTACGCCACCGAGCTATATACTTACTTCCTATCCAGTGCCCTAATATAAAGTTTTAATGTTTTTATCTTCGACAATGACAACACTTCATACAAATTTTCTCTTATCTATTATTTCAACCTCTTAAACCTTTTTTGCGCGACAGAAACAATCCTATGTTCTTTCCCAAAGTGCGCTCTATCTGTGAACCTTTCGTTAAAATTGGTTCAGTTATTTATAAAAGGAAAGGCAGTCCACTGCGATATCCACATACGAATCCGTAAAATACTCAAAAAAGATAGCGTGAAAGTGTTTCAGATAATAAGCGTGTTCATAGAAATACTTAACTAATTGTTACTTAACATTTATATTTTCCAGTTGGATATGACTGACTTCTATGACGACGATTACGACGATCTCGATACTGATTCTGACGAAGAACTGGAGGGTGGCGATGGTGATGCCGATGACAGCGGCAACGGCGAGTCGTGAGGCCGGGCCCCCCTCACAATCCGTGCCCTCACACTCCGCGCCCTCACACTCCGCGCCCTCACACTCCGCGCCCTCACACTCCGCGCCCTCACACTCCGCGCCCTCACACTCCGCGCCCTCACACTCCGCGCCCTCACATTCGGTACCCCCACACTCCATGCCCTGACTATCGGCACTCCCCTCACGTCCCACAAGCTTTAGATTTCTAATTGGAACTAATTAGTTCTACTGCTACAATTAATGCCATTACTTTTCAACACAACACTCCTGTTTAAAATAAGAACTAGAAATAAAACCGCATTAGTTCATAGTGACACTACAGAACTCATGGTAACCATGCATAAGAGAAACCCTATCCATCTTCGCTGCTGTCTGCCCAATGCTTAATGCCTAAGTATAATATAAACAGGAAACTCCCAATCATAATCAACTTTGTAAAGGAAGGATTTCTGTTTTGTTTTCTTTCTTTACAAAGAATGACCAGTTTTGCGAATAAAACAAATCTTTTTAGATGTAATTAATGAAGTAGAACCCCACATGGGAAAATGCTTGGGAATTTTTGTAGAGCCCTTGGTGGAGACATGATTTGTGTTTGTTATTCTCAAGCACGGCATCTGGCCTGAATTCAATACCTCCCTTTCTGTTTCTAGCGATAGAAAAAGGATCAAAAAGGTTGACATTTAAAAAGATTATTCAATAACCTTATCTGATTTTTTTAAACAGTTTTTCAAGAACAGATTACATGTTTCCCAATTCGTCTTATTGTACTTAGTATAGCAACATAATAAATATTTTTAACTGCATACTAAAGTGAAATTGTGTTTTTATATTTTACTAGTGGACGCCCGCGACTTCGTCCGCGTGGAAGTCGGTATCCCGTGGGAGTGAGAAGTTTTCCCAGTAAAAAGTACCCTATGTGTTATTCTGATGTATAACCTATATTGCTGTAAAGTTTTATCCAAATCCGTCCAGTAGTTTTTTCGTGAAAGAGTAACAAACATCCATACATCCATACTTACAAACTTTCGCCTTTATAATATTAATAGGATAGGATGTAACAGGCAAATAAATGGGAAAATAAATGATAGTATAAATAGTATTTGCTCAACAATTTATCTGTAAATAGAACATGTCCGAACAATATAACGTGTCACCCACTATTAACATTCTGATTCATATATTTAAGAGTTGCCAACCTCCTGTTTTCCTGGGAGGATCTGGGAACACCTGAATAGTTTTTAAAAATAATGTATTTTAAAATCACGCTCCGCTTTTGCAATTTTTACGTTACAATCAATTCACAAATGTTTGCGCTGCGCTGTGGTATCGTGTTGTTTAATGAAGGAAGAAGTTGTAAAATAAAGTATTTTTACACATTCATTTTAATTTCTTTGTTTTAACTCAATCGATGTCTTAAATTAGTTTTGTTAAAAAAAAAATATTAATATTACTTGACATTTCAATAAATTATTGTAGTACTGTCTCCTGTGTTTTTCAACTTCAAATCGCAGTTTTCGAAATTTAGGGTTGGCAACACATATGACAGAAAACAGAAGTAATTCCGATGGTAACCGAATATTGATGATGTGAGAGTCCGGTTGTTTATAATGTATTGTCCGTGGTCTAACATTAATTAATGCTGCGGTCATTCGTTACCGTCACACGATGCTGATGACGTAGTGATAGAAGAGTTTTGAAAATCCGGTGTTTTAGAGCTCATTGTCCTATTTATAGATTTTATACATGGCAAACCAGAGTCAAACGACTATGTGCTAGTTATTTTCTTGTATTTTTGTATTATTTAATGGCCAAACCAAGTCTCTTAGGTTGCATTCCTAAAAACATAAATTTCCTCAAAACTCATTTTAACAACGACAAATCACAAAACACCAAATTATTATTTATATTATTTTAGATAATTTTGACTGGATATTTATAATTCTTGCCTTTCTAGATTAATTTATTATATGTAGCCTCTTTATTAGAATCATCACACTAATATACGTACATCGTACAGATTACATCAATTCAGTACAAGAAGTCAAATTTCTTCCATCTAATTGAAACTTTGTTGATAATTAAGTTCAAAGTTAGTTGTGGAAATTTGCCTTGTTGTAGTATAACTTGATCTACTGTGTTCACCTACAAAGGCATGCAATATTCGCCTATTTTATTATACGAGTTTTTCGAATGTCTTCTCCGTGAACTGTTCGTATAGTTTGAGTTTTTTGAATTTTTTTTTTTCAATATGCATTATTCAAAACAAAAAGTATTAATCCTTTCTGCTGAATGGTCCTCGCATATCTCTTACAGTCTAAAGAGGCAGATAATACAAATTTCCTTTACAGCTTACAAATTAATGACAGATGAATATTAAACACGTATTTTTTATTTTTTGGGCATTCTAATAAATTACGCCTATATATTGAATTGAAATATCAAATGAGGTCACGCATTTATACATTTTCCACAAAACCTGTGACGTAGCAAGCCCCTACTCCTCAACTTTAATGCCTAATATCTAAGCAATTTCTTATTAAATTGAGGCAAAAAAATGAGGCCATTCTTATATTTGTCTATTAACTAACTGACGGACTAAATGGTTTTTTTTTTAATCCAGTCCAACCTCTATTCTGAAGATGGCATGTGTGCGGTGGTTCATATGTTTTTTATTTATAGAATTCTTAAAATTTCTTTCCTTCACCCCTTTCAGCGCGTTTCAAAACACAAATGCACTGTTGCCTAACGTTTTGTAGAGATTCCATATGATCGAGAAAGTTTTCAAAAATGTAGTCCTCGAAATGAAACTAGATGGCGCTAGGTACTTTGAAATGTTTGCGCCAAACCTAATATCAAAACTACTTATCTATGAAATGTGTTCCTATTTTCTTACTAATAACTTATTTGAAAGAAAATAAATTTCGAAAATTAATAATGTCATCTTCATATATTTCTTTTTTTAGTTTTTCATATTCCTTTTCATAAGCTTCGAAATATTATTTTTTGAACCGTAAATGATACCTTTGGACCATTTTTATATCATGTCGTTTAGTGAAAGCAATTACAGAAATGTTTCAAAAATCATGCTGCCATCTAGTGGCATTTATGTTAACCATTTTTGTTTTTGATGATTAAATTATTATTCAAAAAACTCGAATGTTTAGTCATGTAATAATCGAATAGTAAGAAAGACGAATACTCGTTTAGCATGCCCTGGTACATACATATGTATTACAAAGGTTAATGTCGTTTTAATCAACCCAAAATTGTAATCTTTTTATGTATACATATTTATTATTTTTATTGTTACGCATAATAAATACTTTATTTGGAATTTAGGGCAATAATTACCAACTTACTTGTAGTTATAAAGAGAAAATATATGCTTTACGTACTGAATAATGGTAATTAATGTAACAAAATAACTGAACTGGTACTACAATAAGTACCTATTACATATTACATCAAAATTTAGATGCTAGTTAGTATGTATTTAGATATTACTATTAGTGAATTTATTTGAAAGAAATCATAAGTTATTTAATAGAAAACTTGTGAAATATAATCGAATAAATGTAGAAGGCTTCGATTTGCTATTTTAATAAAATGAGATTGTAATGGTCAGCATTCATTACACGAGCAACGCATCGGTAAAATGCTAGATGGTCTATTTTGATCATTGTTTGTTTGTCTTTCATTGAATTTACTTTCTTGTTATATACGAAAGTTGACGTTTCAAACCCTTTTCTTTTAATTGGTCGTACCGCGTAACTAGCTAAAGTTTATTTGTCAAACGAAATAAATTCCAGCTACCAATACAATACTTAGCGCGAGCAACAACTTTATTTGAAGGTTAAGGCTGATTTACACGGGGTAAATAACTCCAAATTTACACTTGATCAATACTGGCTTACTTTTTATTTAGGAGTCAGTAACTTGCCCCATATAAATCCAGATTTAAGTAAATTCAATTCGAATTCAATGACAGCTTTGTAAATTTAAATTGGTTACGAGATTAAGTACAGGAAGCCGTGTTATGTACCTTGACCATTAAATGCTTGCTGAAACGGGGGCACTGTCGTCGGAAGACAGTTTATCCTTTAAAATAGATCGCTTACAATTATAAATATGCGGTATAATCAGTAGTGTGGCGTGGACTAAATGTAAACTTAGAAATCGTATCAAGCGAAAATATATTTAATATGTTTTTGCATAGATATTATTTCATGTTTTTCTGATTTTATCATATACCTCCAATCAGGCAATAGTTTGTATGTAGTTTAGAGAAAAACACCTCGCAAGGTGATGTCACTGTGTCCACGCCTAACTAAATTACTATGCAATGCTTAAGTAATGATATTATTTCAAAACCAAAAAAATATTCCGATGACTGTATCTTACCATCGTAGACGTTGAATGAAACTCGTGAAGTACTTTCATCTTATTTCTTTTACGAAAATTTTCTTTGCTGAAATATAATAAAAATAAAATGTATGTAGAAAAAATAAAATTAGTTTTATCACTTAATAACAAGACTTCTGTGATTATAATAAAAAATTGCTTATATGGCTCATTTCTTTTTTGTAAGAATTATAATTTAATTTTTTTATTATTAATTAATGTTAATTTTCTATTTTTCGAGCATTTTAAATATTGTAATTATTTTGAATTACTGAACAGTTAAATATACAGTGTGTTTTACGTTTAACACTTTGAAATTAAATTAAATAACATATTGGTGATTGATTGGTAAATCCTTATACGTATATTTTTTGAAATAAAAAAAAAAATATTTGCATGGTTTTCTCTAATATTTGTACTATAATTTATATTACTACTTATTCGAAATGTGTACATAGTAATAGTATTCTATAAACAAAATCCATGTGTACAGAGAATATTAATATGTCAAGTGTCTATGATTGGATTAGTATGCTCAAGCCTTTTATGGTAATCATAACAATGTTGCAGTATACTATAAAGAGTGCATGTCCATGTACATTCAACGACACATCAACTTATACGAATCTGTCAAATTTCTCTAATCAATTTTAAGTCTTAATGCAATTATAATTAAGTTCAAAATGTATTGCAGAAATTTGACGTTTTTTAGCAGTGTTGTGACGTTCACCCAATAAGTTATGATGGCCGAAATTATCAGTAATGTGTACATTAAGTGAAAATGATATGAATAATGAATGGTTAGTGTGCATTAAGTTAAATTTATATTATAGATATTACAATGTGTATTTTAAGTTTAGCTTTATCATCTTATACAGTTTGGGCTACAAAATTTCGCTGTAACAAATACCTATGTACATTACTTGTCTCGTTACCTAACAATGTTACTACCTGCTACTTAAAATATTGTCTGTTATAATCTAAATTAACTAATAGCTGGTACACCTAAACAAAAATCGTCCAAAACTTAACAGTTAGTTGTAGGTTAAGCTATTATAAGTTGTTTGAAGAATTGTAGTAGGGAAATTCACGACGAGCATGTTAATTACCTTATAAATATAATAAACAGAATGTGTTTGAATGCTACATTATTATTTTAATTTTCCTTTTTCTTTGTTAATTGCAACAGCTTTTCCATTATTACATTTACTCTTTAGGTAAATAGAATTTAAACGCTACGTTTCATCTTTGGGCATATTCTATTTCATCTTGCAAGATATGACGTTATATAGGCACAGTAACGTCATCAGGGCCCATCCCACCCTATTGTTTGTAATCCTAATTTCATCAGTAGCTAATGGTAACAACTAAAATCAATTATAGACATGATGCATTTGGTCTTATAATCGATTGTAAATTATAGAAATTGTCAGTTTTGGATAACCTGACGTGCTAATGATTGTGCCACATGTGGGTGGGTTCAAAAGCTTATATCTAAAGGAAAAAACCGCTAAAGTGCGAGTCAGACTCGCACACGAAGAAAAAATTGACGTTTGTCGCATTTTATTGTTTTTTAGTATTTGTTGTTAAAGTGGCAACAGACAAACATCATCTGTGAAAATTTCAACTGTCTAACTTTACAGCATGGTAACAGACGGACAGACAAACGGCGAAGTCTTAGTTCCCATTTACCCTTGGGTACTTGTACCTTGTGACCGTCAATCATTCATAATAGGTAACGTTGTTTTTAACTCCTTATGATAAATCTTTATTTTATAATGAAGTATTTAAAAAAAAATCCTGAAATCAAACTAGATGTCGCTACGGTACTTTCTTCATTTCTCCATGACAACCCTTCCGGTTTTCTTTCATGTATAAAAGTAAATTAACATTCAAAACTCAATAAACAACTCATATTCTATTTGTCCTTTTTCGTATTTGTATTGATATCTAAGTTTCGAACTTTGCGAATTTCAGTTTTTTTATATGTTAGTTAAAAGGAACGGAAATGACTTTTTTGACAGGAAACGAATCTTTAGTCCATTCGTTTCCTGTAAAAATCAAATTTTGCTAGAGTCGCTCTAGTGACGTGCTTTTTTAGTGCTCAGTCAAGAGACTCGGCAAGGGCTGTTTTTTTCTCCGTTTAATTTCACACAGAGAAGTGTTATTGGAATGTCACTCTGAAATATATGAAACTTCTGAAATAACAAGACAGATATTTGTCGATTACTGAGTAATATGCCTGTTGCCGAGTCATACGTACTCATTGACAAATCAATATACAATATTTATAATAAAAGAACGTCCATTTTCTTTAAAAGAATTTAGTAGCAGACTCATCCCCACTAGTAACACCCGTTGACGAGGTTGACGCATGAGCTAGCCATAGCTTACCTCAACTATATTTCAGCGAACGTTGTGACCTGACGCACACGACACCACAGCAGAGATTTTTAAGAGAGCGTGGCTACTCTAGGTACTTAATAAGTAATACACCTATTTCAACAAAACTTATTTCTAGAGTAGGATGAGTAGGAGACAATATTATTGTAAGCAAAAAAACACATATCCATACGTATTACCACCAACATGCAAGTTAATTAGCGAAAGTATAATAACTACGTGTCTTTATGATTTTTAAATTTAATGTAATAACCTTGCTGTTCATTTCTAGTTGATCCAATCCACTTTGTCCCTGGTACCCGGAGAAGGGATTCGAACCCATGACCACGATTAAAAATCCACTTGGTCCCTGGCACCTAATCAGGATCACGCTTTTTGTTCTTCATACCAAACCTGAATTCAGATGAATCAACCAATAAGTTGGCTCATCACTAATGTTGACATATATATATATATCGCACACCTAGATCTAAACTAAGACAACACAAAAAACTAATGTGGAGGTCTGACAATACATTAGTTGACGTGGCAGGAGCGCGACCACTGTTGATTCAACAAAAGAAAGCTAAAGTTATCTAGCGGCTCATCCCCGAACCTTTATTGAATCTGTTATGTTGGATAGATGCCTATGATCACCGAGTATTTGAATATTGTATAAGTCAAAACTCACTCAAATTTTTGAGTTGTCTCAGTTTAGATCTAGGTGTGCGATATACCAAACGTGAAGGTACCCATAAGAATTCGATTTTTTTCCCGGCAATTTTTAAATATAACAGAGTTTCCTTAATGTATAAATATAAATATTTTGACATTGTATATTCTGGTGAATAAAACAAAATACGCTACCCTCAAAAATCTATGTATTTCTGCAGTATATCATAGATAGAGCAAAGGAGACAAGAACGCTCCCTGCATAACTCCTTTATAAGCAAATGTAGGTTCGTAGTACTTATGTATGATTAATCTTGACACTTATTTAACGACCATAAAATAAATTAAAAACAAACTGCAAGTGTAATATGTGTACAATTGAAAACTAAATCAACATTTTTAAATGCGCCTTCTAACCTGAAAAGTACTAAAAAAAGATTTTTAACCACGTTAAACAGAATTAGAATTGGACATGGAAAGTTTAGGGATCATTTGCATAGGATCAAGCTTAAAATGGATACTAGATGTCGACATTGTTACCAAGATAAAACGGAATATCTTCAATATTTGTTCATGGAATGCCCGGCGTTTAACCTTCAAAGACTATTGATGATAGATGGCTTACTTCAAATTTATAATATGCAGTATTCACAGCCAACTGCCATTTATCCTACAAAATTACAAATGCATATCCTATTCTGTATGAATTTGTAATGGATACATTCAAGGAATTGTAAAATTTTTGAAAACTGATTAATGTATGGCCAAGATGTCATATTTATTAATTTTCGATACTTAATTTACTTTTATAACGTCAGAAAGCAAATTTAAATGAATATCATAGACAATTATCCGAAAATTGCTAGTGACGTCTAGTTTGATTTCAAGAACTATTTTTATTTATAAATAATTCCTCAATCGTGCTGCCATTTAAATAAAAAAAAAATTGCTGTCATTGTCATGTCAGTAAATGTCAAAACAAAATTGACGAAGGGATATTTTTGAAATTATTTATTTTATCCAAAACCTTGCTTTATCGCTTACATCGGAAATCCTTGTAATGTTCGCTTATATATACTAACTGTCTCAAAGTGTAAATGATTTAACATAAATAGAATCATGGCCATATTTGAAACTCCTTTACAAACCAAAGCTGTTGTTGACGACACAGAAAAATTAATTTGTACTGTTGAAAATGCCCAAAATATTAACAAACATACAGTAAGTATATGTTAAAGTAAGTTTCTTTATGGGGCGTGCCTATGATTCATTTCTTACCATATTCCTTTCAAGATAACGTAAGAATGTTTCTCGCCCATAAAATTTCATTACTTTTATAGGGGATCGAATTACGAAACTCTCTTTTTGAGTAACTATCAACTCTTTTCTTTAAAAAGCTTTCAACGAAAATAACGTTTAATTATCCTTTTTTTTTAGGAATATATTTTGCGAATCCAAAGAGGGCCATGTAAAGAAAATAAATGGTATGTATCAAGAAGATACAGAGACTTTGCAGCATTGCATACTAGCCTTCAAGTGGCCAACATTGACCTTCCGATACCACCAAAGAAACTTATTGGGAACATGCAACCATCTTTTATTGCAGAAAGACAAATAGCATTACAGGTAATAGTTAACATTTTTTTTATTTTATCTCCAAAAGTAATGTGTTCTACCTTAATATTTTGAGAAATGATATGTCTTTCATATCACTGTCTATAAAAATATGTCAACAAAATATGTATTCTTATTCTTACCTATTACAATACCTATAATACCTATTCTTACTTCCAAAGCACACCTGAAAATTCACATTCAAAAGAAGTATAGAGCATTTTCATTGTTTGATAGAGCTTGCCTACCCCACAAGTGTGGAGATCTGTAGCATGCCATGAGCTCAGTATTCAGAACATTATTATTACTAGCTAACAGGGTTCATAATTATCAAGATAATTATTTTTTGGATAATTATCAGTAGTTGTCGACAATTTTTAAAATACAGAAAGGCATCTATAATAGTTTAACTTATATATAAGATGTGTAGTCTATTATAATTATAAAGATTATTTCAAGATATTTATCATGATAATTATCACTGAAAACCCTGCTAGTTAGTTTATATTATTTATTTATAGTTTACAATAGCCAACATATTAGGTAGGTTAGAAAATTATTAGAATGCAGAGTTCTTTAATTTATATGTACGTACATTACTGACCTGTTGAATAATATAAATGTATAAACTAATCTCTTTCAGACCTATATAAATGAAGTCTTAAAGCATCAACAGCTCACTCTGTCATTGCAAGTAAGAAACTTTTTGGATCCCAAAAATTATGCATTAACTATATCAGGTAAGTCATCAAATTATATACATAATGTATTAAGTTTTAGTCTAAATAGGTCTTAATGTAATTTAATATAATAATAATAATAATAATAATAATAAAGCCTTTATTACTGATTTGTAGTTTGCAATTTACAATTTATACCGAAATTCGCACATCATTCATCAGTGTGTCCTGCTGACACATAGGCCTCCTCTAACTTTTTCCATTCTTCTTTGTTTCTAGCTGTTCTTATCCATAGAGTCCCCGCTGTTCTACGTAAATCATCAGCCCATCTCTTGAGCTGTCTACCTCTTTTCCTTTTTGTGTTATAACGCGGTATCCATTCAGTCAGGGTTTTGGCCCATCTCACTGCTGGCTGTCTTACAATGTGGCCAGACCATCTCCACTTTAGTAGTTTGCATTTCATATTAACATCCTCGAATTTGGTGATCTTGCGTAGATCAGATGCACGCATCTTATCTCTCAATTTGTATCCAAGGATGCTCCTTTCCATACTTCTCTGAGTAGTTCTTAATTTGTTTTGGAGTTTTTGGGTTAGGGCCCATGTTTGACAGCCATATGTAAGTATAGGTAATAGACAGGTGTTGAAGAGCTTTCTCTTGATACTGATTTTGTACTTTTTGTTTTTGAAAATATCTTTAAGAGCCCAGTATCGCTTCCATGTGTTTGTTACTCGCCTGTCGATTTCTTGTGGCATCTGGTTTTGGAAGGATATTATCTGTCCTAGATAAATATAGGTATTCACATACTCTATTTTTTCATTATCAACAAGTATTATTTTTTCAATATCGTTTGTCATCACCTTGGTTTTTAACTTGTTGATTGTTAGGCCCACTTCTTCACTTTTGCTAGCTAGCTAATGTAATTTAATAGCAAACATAAAATTGTGAAATTAAACAAATATTATAATTAATTAAAACAATACTTCATAAATAGAACAGGTTCGATTGATGATTTTATTTCACAGAGCAAGCTTTACAGAGTGTATCAATTGCATTACGGGGAGATGGACATTATGAACTAAAATCTCCTTTGACTGACATTGGTTGGAGGATAAGGAAACATTATTTTTTGGTAAGCACTAAACAAATAATTTAATTCATTCATTATAAATTAAATCTACAACGCATTAGTCTGTATTACGCACACTTGGTTGTGGTTGTCACATGGACTGTCTGCATAATTCTGTTGATGTACACACCCTGCAGAGAGATATTTATAGTGTAGAGGTGCTTGTTGAGTGAGCGGTGTCCAGTTATGGTAACCACAACTGTGGGAAGAGCCTTTTGGCTTATACGGAGCAGCAACATGGCTGGTGTTGGTATGGATATTAGTTGTATATTGCCATACTTTCTGTACATCCATACTATACTTTCAGGTAACGGATGTTGAGAGCAAATCAAACTGTATGCTATCATGGCAAACTTATGGTCCAGACAAACATTTAAGTGATAAAGACCTGCAAACTGCTTTCAAGAGTTTACAGAATGTTTCAGTGAGTTTAATAATTCCTTATTATATACATATTTATAATAAATTAAGTATGAAGTGTCAAAAGTCATTGTTGTTCCACAATACATTTCTCATAGTTTCTATTTTACATTTCAATCAAATATCTGAAAAATCACTTTTTCTTGCAGGCTCACATTTATTGATATATTTCAATATCCCTCATAAATTGCTTTGATCACACTCTGTTAATAGTTATTTTGGCTGATTTAAAATAATTGCAATACTGCTGAAATTAAATTTATTTTACAATAAAAAATAGTTAAATACTCATAAAGTAGGAATGTTGCAGATGCAGATGCTAGATAAAAAAAAAATCTATTTAGTCCATCAGTCAGATAATAGAAAAAAAAATTGATATGAATATTTTTTTTGCTTAAATTTAACAATAAATGGCTTAGATAAATGGCATTAAAGTTATGGAGTGGGGGCTGACTACGTCACAACTATCTAGAAAATGTACAAAGCACGTCATACGACATTTTAACTCAATGTATCACTTTAATTTAATAATTACGAAAAAATATAAAAATACGTGTTTAATATTTTTTTTAATAATCTACCTGACTACAACCGAAACAAAGGAACAAAAATTAGTTATCGTGTATATTATAAATGTTTATATCTGCAAATGAAGATGCAGATGCGTTTCTTAATATTTATATCTTTTCTAATATTTATTGCAAATTTATTGGTTCGTATGTTCCGCATCCAAATCAATATCCAAATTCGCAGCATCGTTATTGTAAATCTGTATAAAATATGAAGATAATGCTCTTATTTTTTCCAGCACCCTCATATAGATCAGATATTAGCGATACATAATTTAGAAACCGGTGCCTATGTAGTTAGAAGAATACACGAAAACGGCAGCCTCAGAGATATACTATATGGAACTGAATATTCTAAGAATCATTTAAGCAAATATGGTAACCCCAAAGTGAGGAAGCCCCTGACTCTGGGACAGATTTGTCATTATGGAAACCAAATATTACAGGCCTTGAGGTTCTTACATGACAAAGGACTTGCACATGGTGTGTATAATTTATAGTGGAATTGAAAACGGTATCAAACCTCAAACACAATTTACAGCATAAATAAAATCAGTAAAACCAGCTTTATATTTTCGCATTGCAATTTCTTTTATTTTTTTTTTAAACTAGATTACGAATTGTATTTAGCATTAAAAAGTATAAAAACACGTCTCAAGTTCCAGGGACTGACGGAAAATGACCTATTATGTGTAAAATCGTTTAAACATTTTCAATTATAAAAAAAATATATAGAAATACTTAGATGGCAAGATAATTAAATTTTTGATTAACATAATAATTTATTATTATATTACCACCCACAGGCCATTTGCATCCAGGAAACGTTGCTATTTTAAATCAGCGTGTGTTATTATTAGACATCGAGAACATTCTATTGGGTGTACCCTGTAAATATCGGCCTCACTTGCTGCATTTAAAGCTAGCCACATCAGAGGCCGTAGATATGTATTGCTTTGGTTTGACATTGTATGAGATGGCGTTCGCGACGCCATTAGAAGAGCCCTACTGTGATATTTTCTCAGACGGAATCTCGGAGGATTTGGGTATGTTCATTTTTTATGCATTTATAAAAAAAAACACTTTTTGGTGGTCAGTTATTTTAATTTTGACATACTTTAACACCCGGTTTCGGAATTTGAGAGTTTTTAAAATTTAGAATGTCTCAAACTGTACTCAAACTGTCACTGAAACAGTTTTCCGTTTCTGATTTTAGTTTTTTAATGATGAGTTAATAGCAGTTTGATAAGACTTAGAACTTTTTGGACTTGTGAAAGTAAAAAATTAAGTTATTGAGAATAATTAGTTGAGATTCTGTACTTTCTCAATTCAGAAACTGGCTGTAAGACCTTCGGTATCTGAAATGAGGGTTATTTAATAAGGTATTTTACTCTATTTGGAAAAGGACGTTTAAATATTAATGTCACAATAAATATTTCCACAAAATAAACACATTTTCGTACTTTAAAATGAAATTAAAATTTTAACTTACTTTTACTTGCGAACGTTGTTTACCATATTGATGACGTTACATTGGTATGTAAACAAAACAGACGCACGAAGTATATATATTATTTATAGATTAAAATAGGATTTACTTCACGATAAAAAATCTTATATAGCACCATCTTTTACAAAATAAATGGGTAGCTGTTTACAACTTAGATAAGTTCTAAACTGCTACTGACAGATACAATTTTTTTTTTGACTATATGATACGACGACACGACCCGTATAAAACGAGGACAAAATTTGACGTTTTCTCTTCTGTCATTATCAAAAGTACTTGGTTTTAACAAATGGCCGCCTAAAGTAAATTGACAATGACTTGTGTTGACTTATTTTTGGTCGAATAATAGTTTTTTTTTATACCTGGTTTTAAACCTGGTACTAAACTTAGTCTTCGTTTTACAATAGGACGCAATAATTTATCTGTAAAATTAAATTTCAAACTTTATTTAGAGAACGTGTTGCGATTGTGCCTATCCCGAGAATCGATCCGTCACGGTGGCCCTACGCTTGCCGACGTCATGTACCATCCGATGTTCACGCGTGGTATACCTCCGTCTATAAATTCCTTCAACTCCACACCGCCCAGACTCAAGCTGCCACTGAATGTCAAACATGAAATCAATACAGCCTTGTTGGCTGCCGAGGCGAGACTAAGGAACGATCAAAAACTGGTGAGCGAACTGCTATAAGTTAATGTTATTTTTACTTGTCAGAGTGAAATGTAAGTTTTACGTTAACGCGTTCACTAGTGAGTGCGGTAAAAATAGGGTATTCAACTGTTTGAAATAGTATTTTTTGTGTTTATTTTGATTTGAAGAAGCTATAAAACAAAACGCACTTCCTTGCTTTAAAATTAAATCAAAAATAGACCAAAAGATATGTATGGAAAAATGCAGAATTTTATTACAGAAAAAAATATAAAAAGTCTTATGTTTTCACGGAACTAAGTAGAGTCTGACCGATGCTATGAAAGACTGCTGTTTGTATGTGGAAACGTAACACGGTTAAAAGGAGAGAGGAGATCCTATACCCCGACACTATTTCTATACTCGCGCATGCACAATAAAGGGCAACTAGTTTCTTGTTTAACAGAATCATAATTCATATCATCAATATCAAAATTTATTTAAATTTGTGAAATATAAACAAATGGGGCACCACAATATTCTCTCGAGCCGTTTTTCGAGGCCTGGTTTACGTATTCTAATATAATAAAAATTTGTCTGAGTCTCATTTTGCTGGTACTGAAATCGGTTTCTTTTCGAGGTTGGCATTGGCACTGTCCAGTTCATCTTTGAGTTTTCAATCATACTTTAATACCTTTTTAACATAAACATGCAAGCTTATTCATGACTATACCAATAGCATTCTACGTACACATGTACGTACGTTATTCACACGTAATTCGGGAATTTTCACGTGCGAAAACAGGGGACTTTAGTAAATCTGAAATTAAAATTTTATTACCGTTAGACACTGTAGATAGTAGAACAGTAGGTATTGTATATTGGGTGATAATTAAGAAATTGTTTCAGCTTCGAAGTGTGAAGAGAGAAGTGCGCATTCAGGAAATATTAAACTCTGAAGTAGAGCTGAGGAAACAGAAACGACGCGCGGTAAGATTAACTATCTATACTCTATAATGGTTTGGTACCAGAATGTTTAATGACTATTAATAATAAAAAAGAAATAATTATAAAGTAGAACCAACACCTTGCACTAAATTCTGAGTCAATATAGTCTTCTTCATCGTCAAAAACATATCACAAGGGAATGACGCCATTCGAAGTTTTTCTAATCATTCGAAACTCCAGAGTTGAACCAAAACCAGACCTCCGAAAGAATAAACTTTTAAATTGTTTATTTTTTTTTTTGCAGAAAAAAAGGGGCAGTATATGGAAATCGACGTCATCTTTAGCGGAAACTGTTCACTCGCACAGCGCGAGTACAACGTCCTCGCCGACGCCTCCCGCGCTATGTAAGTGAATTGTCGCTTTTCCTCGTCAATATCTGCTTCCAATAATAATTTTCCAGCAGGCCAATACGGGTGTAGACTGTATATGAAAATAAATACATTTTTTTCTGTTGGTGTTTAATATACTATTACCGATAATCACACTTATTATAATTATAATATTATTTAGATTAATTATGAAAAAACAAATATTTTATGCTAGTTATCACGTGACAGCAAACAGCACGTGACGTCACAGCCTTCTTACTCTGAGAATTGGACCTTATGCATACGAACGATTTAGAACGATATTCGTTTCAGATTGTCTTGACGTCATAGTAACGCCATGAAGAAGCGGCGTTTACGCGGGATATTTTGAAAATTAAATTTATTTTTAGATTTTAACTTATTATATGGATGATATCTTTTATAAATTTCATGTATATCATTAAAATAAAAACATCAAAAAACGTTGTCTACATCTCTATTCTGCTATTTTTTACGTAATAATAACTTCTCGATAGAATCTCAACTTCTTGCCTTTTGCCATTGCACTATCTACCTGAAGTCCAATATTATAAGTGCTGTTACGCTTAAAAAATGGGTTATTAGCTATTGTTTATTGATGGGTTTAGGACCCGTAAGAGCGTTAACAGATCGGTAATAAAACAAATATTTTTTTATAATAAACGTTTACTACCCAAAAAGTAGGGAGACATGAGATCTCAGGGTTAGGGTTCAACGGGAAGCTCGCAACGTGGATCAGTATATAGATAGGTACAATTATATATGGCCCTAGTCAACCGTTCGCAATAGTTAGGTCTCGGTCATCCACTGTCCTGGTAGTGCTCCGGCAAGTTGTACTGCCGAAGAGGTCCAGTGGTCTGGATAGAAGGGCCAAAAGATGGGTCCGTAGCCAGCGCTTCAGCACCCAGATTTTATATCATGAAGCTTCTCAGGGGCGGAAAGGAACCCCAATACGGGGATATCACTTCGATAAAATTAATTAAAAAACATAAAGATTGAAACATTTTACGTTCGCGACTACAGCGTCCGCGAAAAAATATTAAAGGACTACATGTTGATGTCACGCTGCCTTCGGTTCAAATGTATCACAAGGAGCGCGTTCACATTTGTACCTTTCATAAAACTGGATTGCGCCTGCGACGCGGAGAACAATAGCTTCGAGCAAGACATGTTGTCAAGCCCGTCGCCGTTTATCTATATAGAAAATTATTGGTTTGTCAATCTTCGGACAACAAATTTTATAGGTTTTTTTTTTAAATAAATGTATAATTTTAATAAAATATAAACCGCTACAGTGTTATGTCTGTCCTTACTCTCAATATTGAACCTTAGGCAGATAGTACAATGGTAAATGGTAGTTTAGATTCTCATCAATATTTGCTTCCAATAATAAATACCCTGAGCCGCTCACTCCTGCTATTTCACTAGTTCAGCTGTTTCAAAATAAATCGCCGGATAGATGTTTTTATAAAAACCCTATATATCCCAGTTTATTTTCAGTAGTTTTCAGCAGTTTCAGTTGATAATAAATAAATATAAAGAGAATTTTTTTTCAATAAATATTTGAAATACTAACTTAAACCATATTATTAAAAATGAAGTGTAAAATTTCCGGCACTTTACAAGAAACTGTTTTAATTTACCTGTCTATTTATATTACCTATGAAAGATCGACAAAAAGACATATTAGTATAATAAACTATATAGCTGATAGGGTCTGATTGTGTTGATCGCGATGTGTAATAAACCGCAGTTTCAGTACATCAGCCTAAAAACAGTAGAGAAAACTTCAGACTGCAAATTGATGGCGTAATGTCTAGGTACATTGTTGTTACAGCAGCAGATAGCGGTACTAGCCCCGCAGGCGTCAGTCCCGCTGCGGTCAGTCCCGTGGCCATCAGTTCGGCGACCATCAGTCCCGGCGATGGGCGCTCAGCTCTCCTTAATGCCATCTGCTCCTTCGACAAGACACGTCTCGCCAGAGTCAACGCTCGGTGAACGCGACACGTTTTTTAATCGACAATAGAAAAGTATTTTTAATAAAGTTTTAAATATCTACAACAGAGGATCGAACCTCAACACCTATCCTTAACTAGGCCTTAACTACGTTACAAAGACCAAACTTGCTTTCGATCTCAAAATTTCTAAGGTGATTCCTATACCTATGTAGTGAATGTAGTTTCCTCCTTCTATATATTTTTATGTATTTTAGTTAAACCTAATATAACTCTATAGAGGCCAGTGCTGATTGAAAATATTAAGGCCTATTCAAAATTCGTGTGCTATTTTTTGAAATATTACTTTAGTTTTTCGTCGAGAAAGACAACTTTCTATAACGTCGTTTTACTTATAAACAGGGCAAACTACTTTAAAAGTAACTTATTATTCTGACTTAAACTCAAGTTACTTATATTGTATCAAAAATGTATTATTCCCTGTTGATATTTTATAATCATGAAAATGTTTACTTAAAAAAAAACGTTTTTGTATCATGTCTAAGTAAATTTCTTCTCGTAAGTGTAGCACAATATATTATAATATATCTCGAGGGTTAATATTGATTACTCAACTCGTGTAGTTCAATAACCTCCCCAGAATCAGGCGCCAATTAAACGCGTTTTATTATACATTACTTGTTGGTAAGGAATATTGTTACAAAGTAATAAAACATTTGAAGCATTGAATTTAAAATCGTTCCTGATTTCGCCCTTTCCGGTCTAAGAATCTCCGGCCCGCGTCAGGCCTTAAATGTACACTCGTTGAATAATCAATGCCATACTCCTCTTGGTAAAAATGTATTGTGTAAAAAAACAAAACTTTGTTATTTTATATTTCATAAACCTCAGACGCTGTCCGCCATATTCGTGACGTCATGTTGATATGTAAAGAAAATATACGCATAGAGATATTACGTAATAGATTAAAAGATTCAGAGTTAGATAAGAACAGCGCCATCTAACGATTCGTTATAAAATAAAAATGAATATCGCCCTCTACACCTCTGCTACAAATAAATAGGTAGCAGTTATCTGGTCTGAGACGCAAGATTTTTTACCAACATAACATCGCACACCGAGGTGGGTCACGTGATTTTGTATTTATTTTATGTGCTTTTACGACTCAAAATCAGAATATCTACTAGTATGCTTATTTCAATATAAATGTTAATTTTTGTCAATTTTCATTATTTATTTTTATCGCTGAAAATTAAGAACATATTATTTACAATGACAACTTTCAGCAGTTTTTGAAAAATTTAAATCTATTTTGTTTGTAGTAATATGTAGAGTTTCAATTTTTTTTTTTAATGAGGAAGTATTTCAAGAAAAAAACGAAAGCACTAAAAAAGCACCTGTCTAGATGGCGACTCTACCAAAAGTTGGTTTTTGCAGGAAACAAATGGACCAAAAAAAGTCATTTCCGTTCCTTTTAACTAACACATTAAAAAACTGAAAAATGCAAAGTTGGACACATAAATATCAACACAAATACGAAAAAGTACAAATAGAACATTGAGTTTTGAAAATTAATTTACTTTTATATGTTAAAGCAAAACCGCAAGGGTTGTCATGGAGAAATCAAGAAAGTATCGTCGCGACATCTAGTTTGATTACGGGAGCAAATTTTTTTTTAATGCTTCCTCATTACTTAACTTATTCAGGTGTTATTTGGGACATACATAAGAACGATCCTAATATTAAAGAGTTGTAGATCTCTGTAAAATTTAATCAAAACTAATGATACATACAGCAGCACGTCAATCTATAATAATATTTCCAATGGCCGTTATCGATTTTGAACTCTACTTTTAAGATTATTAAGACTTAAAATCAAGTTGACAAATTTGTCAGTTGTAAACCTAACGTGCTGTGTGTACTGTATAATCATTGGTGTTATGTATAGTTAGGTCGTAATTATTTTCTTTATGAATGAAAAAGCCAAATACAAAAAAAAATTCAACGTTTTAGTGTTTTTATATAGATATTATAATAAATCAGTACAATATTAGATCTATAAGAGATCTTTATATAAAATTGATTATTGTTAAGGAACAAAATATCTTTTAATTTGTTATTATTATGATTACCGTCAAACTATTACAAAACGAGACTAAACCTTTTAAAAAAACCTTTGTTTTGACGTGAACCTCCTTTTATACGTAATCCATTAGTTTTATTATATGTATATTAACATTATAAACAGGAAAGATTTATTAATTGTTTGTGTATTCGCATCGAATAGACTCTGAAAAAAACTGGACCGATTTTAGGAATATTACACATACCGGAAGCTAATGATGTAGTTTCCGGTAAGTGTAAGAATTTTGAAACACAGGTGACGTACGCTATACGAGGGTAGTTTGAAAAGTTCTCGGTCCGACCAAGTAAAAAAAGAAAATAAAAACATGTTTATTTTCCTACATATTCTCCCCTTGTCTCAATATAATGGCACTTGACATACGGTTAAATAAATAATCGAGCTGTCGAATTACAATGAATTACTTTACATATTACCCTCAAATCACGATCAGACCGAGACCTTTTCAAACCATCTTCGTAATTTACGCGTAGTCGCGGGAAAACAGCTAGCATAATGCAGCAAATGTGGAACTACAAAGGAGGATTATCAATATTTTAATAGCGTTTACCCTTGAATTAAAAAGAGATAATACAAACCATCAAAGATAATTATGATTAAGTTCAAAGTGATATATACGACTGGTCAGTCATTAGGTTCTTTTATTGGTTTGCTATGAAATTATTATTAATATATTTTAAAACATGTAGGAAGCTTTAAAACTCTAGTTTTAAGTTACATAAATTATTATGAATGTAATAAATATATTTTGTTGTAAGAAAAAATATACAGTTACATTGATTTGATGTATTTTTATTACGTATGATTCGTATTGAAACGACATTTCAGATTAAAAGGAAGTTTAATTTTTTCACGCTTACAATTAATCATAGTAATTACAAACATAAACAACATTCTTAATTATTTTAATGATACATTATAATTAACTAAACAAACACAGACTAATTATGAACATCATAATAGTACAATGCTTAGCAACTGAGAAATATAGCATGAAGTTTTTATTAATGTCCAATTTCCATTCCAAATCTAATTACATACCTAATAGTAAATTTTAATTTCGACTTTTTTTCTAAAGCACAGAAATCGCACACTAATTTCAAATGATAAATTAGAGATTCTATGTTGATGTTAACACTACTAATTTCGAATTAAGCTCCGGTCACTTAAAAAGGTACGTCAACGATTGAATCTTCCAGAGTGTGCGTCAATATAGACATTTACACAAATGACATATCAGCTTTAATGAAATTAAATTAAGCAATATTTTAATAAATTATTGTGACTATCGATTTTTTCACACGATAATTTTATCGAGTTTAATAATGGATAAAAGAAAAAAATAATGACAGACAAGAGTCATTTTTAAAGTTACGATACAATTTAATACATTTTAAGAAATGTATTGACTTAAATCTGCTACCCATCTGACCAAAGAATCGATCTATACACATATGTATGAAATTCTATCGCTTTTCTCAGTTTCTTAATTATAAAAATTATTAAAGTTTAAGTTTCTGGCGTAATCAAAACATTTCGTAATACGTAAGTTTATTTGCTCATTTACACTGGTCGATTGAGACTCGCTCCGCAGTCCTTCCGATCAATATAAATAAGCCATTACGGCTTTCGAGTGTACTCTATGTATAAAGATATAATTCGTTATTATTACACTGTGAAATCAAAAAGGATTACATAATACTAGAACTTGCTTATAGCCACTTCACACTGAGATAGGCGATAGCGTTAGTATGAGACGCACAAAACTGCCAGTCACTGTAAACAATATGCAAAAAGTTCAATTTGTTTAAATCGATTAAACACTTAATGGTGTTTCTCGAATAATAGTTTCTTGTGTTAATTAGCAGCACAATCAAAACTCATAGCTATAATAAGAACAATACAGTTAAAAATTACGCTGTTCACATTTACACCTAGATTAAACGACAAGCGCAACTTCCGACGCGTTTTAATATCTAAATGTCAATAACACTATCATAATACTTACATATAACTTCTAGACATCATTTAAATATATCTCTGCAATCACACCCATAAATTTCTTTATCATACGTCTCAACTCGTAACCCTAAATTATAGTATATTTAAAAGTAAAAATTTTATCACAATTGAAAAAAAGTAGTCTCCGTGAAAATATTATGTACTTAATAACAAAAACATTTCTAAGAAATCAAAAGTCCTTTACGGTTCATTTAAGGATAATGCCGTAGAATCGTGCTTCGAATATTGTTCAATTAATTTAGTCTAGTTCAATTATGTCGTCAATATCGTCGATGTCGAAATCTTTCAACGTCATTGGTTCTGAAAAGAAATAAATAGTAACCTCACTAGACGTCTTATAATTTTATTTTCATTGTAGATCAACAGTTGTATTGATAATGTTACAATATTTATGTATCTGTGTTAACCACCTACGATCTGTAAGTACAGATCGTAAATGTTTAAAAGACATAAGTTACACTGTTAACCTTAAAATTAAATAACATTTTTCAGTTCACTCAACGCTAGTTCCACACAATCCCATCACACTTGGTACGGTACAGTAAATTATATATAGACGCACGTAAGTAGTGATGGACATAAAGAAATATTGCCATTGCCGGAGAGTTTCCATTCTCCAATATGCCGAAAATGTCCAGTAGATTTTTTGTCGTGTTACGTATATCGTCTATACTTAACGTATATCGTTTATTCTACTCAACTTTAGAAATCTTAAGACAAAATATACCGTGCGTGACAAAATACACCCTTTATATGTCCTAATTATAATTACGCATAATTTAAACAATATAGTTCACGGTATTTGTAATAGAAGTAATTTTCATCATTGTCATATAAATATTTATACTAGTAGAAGAAACAAATTTACAACAGAAAGAGCAGGTAAATCTGTTACCTTGTTCATAATTAGGAACTAGGAATGAAAAAAAAAAACACATTTATGAACACAGAACGCTTATAAATGCTCCATTGATGGAGCCGACTCCAGTAAGTAATTTGTATCGTATTAACTTACTTTTATATTCACCATTGGGAATTTAACTGGCAATAAACTGGAAATATTGCTGAGAGTTTCGTTATCGATGCCTACTTTTGTTTCTAGTTCATAGATAAAGTAATTTAAATTCAAATAAAATATTTAATAAATATAGAAAATTTGCCCAATATTTTCGTTTAATTCCCACCTTGGGAACGCTGCCGACGATGTTTCCAGCAAAATTTCCAGTCCTTGGCTATGTGCCCCGGCTACGGTACATCACTACCGTACACAAAGAAATACTTACTTTCAGTCTTTTTCTTCTTGGCCAAGGTGAATTGTGTGGAGGTTGATGGTTGGTCCACTATTCCAATACTATCTATGATCCTGCAAATTAATGTTTCAAAAGTTAATAAAATATCAAGTCAATAATATGGGTATGGGTTTTTTGATTGGCGCCCATGACCAGACTTAAAAGTGGCACATTTTAGTTAATATTGGAGGGTTTTAGTTATTAAAAATTAAGAGAAATTTACAGCAGCGGCAGTGGAAAGTTTAAATATGAACGAATATATTAACCATTCAAAGACAAGTGTGTTGGTTGGTGCAATCAAATAATTAATGTATTTTAGACTTAGTTTATTTTGATAAGATTTTACACATAACGTATTTATTTGTGAATAACTTTTTGTATCTAATTGTGGCAAATAAATTATGGAATTATAAAAAATACTCACGGGGGTTGTGCCCTCTTTATTGCTTTTCCAGTGCCACACAGTATAATATCTTTTGATGTGCCAACTAAAGTAGAGCCTTTGAGGATTCTCGTTTGAACTTTACTACCTACAGATGATGTCTGTCGATCGCCAATCCCTGTGATATCTATAACGGGATTCTTCCCTTTGTCTCTAGACGCCCGCGCCGTTACTACAATTCTTTTCGGTTGCGCAGTCGAACTATCTTTCGTTTGGATTGAACTTTTCGGTACGTGGTCATTACCAGAACGCGTTGTCAGGGGAAGCTTTATCGAAGGCGCCTTTGAATTATTAACTGTCGGCTGAGTTTTCTTTTCGTTGTGGCTCAACACTTTGTACCACGCGCCATCTTTGCTGTCTCTATCCTGTTTATTTAATGGAGATTCGATTACTCCATGTGTAATGGTTATTACATTCTTTGGTTTTGAAACTACATTCGGTTTGGCGCTTGTTTCGTTAGTTGTACTTTTTGCAGTGTTTGAAGATTGTTGCACTGCATAGTCGTCCGCTTCGATATGAACGACATCTCGTAATATTGAGAGCGGGTTGAACGGACTGTTTGATCTCGGACGAATTTCGCTAATAGATTGGGTTTGGTTTGTGGTAGTTTTTCTTACAGCGTCAAAATGTGTTTTCCTCTTAGATGCCGTCACATCTTGCTGGACAGTCGGTATTTCGTCAAGATCTATACTAACCGTAGGTATCAAGCTAGGTTTCTTATTCAGCTTCGATACGACGACGTGCTTAGTCCCTGAGGATTTACTCTCTTCGGGCCTCACTTTATCAGCCTTGTTTACCATTTCTATTCGACCCGACTTGGAAAAACGTAATACGTCGCCGGCTTTGCAAAGTTTATTTTGGCGTGCTTCATGTTCAGAATTTAGAATTGATTGGGAATCATTATTGACAGTCGGTGACGGCGCCGTCTCTTTAGTGGAAACTAAAGAAGGTTGGCCTACCATCGGCGACTTCGAAGTACGGGTCAGAGGTATAGGAACTACTCCTGGTGGAATGTCCCTACACTTCGTTAATTTCAGGGGCTTTATATTTGCCGGTTTCGATTGTTCCACAGTCTGTGGAATCGAGCGTTTATTAGTGCTTGATCTCGACCGACCTAATAGACTGTTATGTAACTCGATCGCACGTTGCACTTCCATACTTGGCGACGGATTAGCAGCGGTCAATGATACAGGCACCGCAGTTTGCGGACCCGAACTTGATATGTTCGACGTTTGTACGGACGGTAAAATATCTTCATCGTCACTGTCCAATGAAATGGTGTTAAAAACTAAAGATTTTGATGCAACCGACGGTTGGGGATTCGTATGCACGGTTGTACTCGTGTTTGGTTCTGTGTTGCTTATGTACAACATTTTATTTGCGGTACTCGTACGCGACATAGAAGAGTTGTTATTTTGAAGGTTTATGATGCTATCTTGTCCTGGTGGTGCTCGTAAGTTTTTGAGGACGACTCTTTGTAAATATCTGGGGATTTTAGAGTTAGGTTCAGTGATGGCCGTCATCGGTACAACTGGACTTTGTCGGATGTCATGCGTAATATTAGGCACAGGGTCCGATATTATTTGTATGTCGTCATCGTCTGGCAGTATACACTCGTCGGCTGAATGGTGCGTGCCTCCAGCTGGTATATCAGCAGATCCCTTAAACCTGTGACAACGAGCGTAATTAATAAGTGGAAGTGGATTGTGATTGTTAAATAGTTCGATGACTATTGGACTAATCTAATTCCATATGACATTGAATTCTAATTTGACGAATATAAATACATATTATTTTGTTGCCATTAGTGTTTATACTATTACCGATAACAACACTTTTATGCTTACTATATTTATAATTTTGCTTAAATTAATTATGGAAAACAAATATTTTATTCTTGTCGTCATGTGACCGCAAACAACGCGTCACTTCACGCCCCTCTTAATCATTTCAGAACTTAGAGAATTAAACCTTTTACATAATAGACCGATATTAGTTTCAGAGGGCCGTGACGTCATAGCGACGTCATAATGGTTTTCGCGGGAAATTCTGAACGCATAATTTATTTTTTGATTTAAAATTATTAAAAGAATTATACTTTTTGATTTGTTTTTTTTTTTTATATAAATATCTATTTCATGTATATCTATAAAATAAAATAATAAAAAAGTTATCTACACCCCTATTGTAGTTGGAGATGAGTTTGAATTATTTTCGCTTGAAGTATAAGCAAGCTTATTACGGCGTATGGTCAATTTCAAAATAGGCATCAAATGATATTTATAATTAAACCTAAGATCATAAAACTGATAAAAAAAAAATACATTCTCATATTCGAATAAACGTTAGGTCAAAATCGTCACTCAACGTAAAGTCATGGGCGTTGTTGATGTGATATTCATTTACAGTCAATTATCCTACAGTTGGGTCATTATAATTGGCCACATTTGTCATCACTCAGTTTTAACTTGAAAGTAACCTTGTAATGTGGTAATAAACATATTTTTTTTCAAAGTTACGGCAACTGTACTATTGCTAATTTCATTGTTATTAATATATTTATTTTTGTCACGACACAGAACTAACTAACTGTAACTGTTAGTTTGTAGGTACCCTTTTTGTCTGTTTTATGGTTAGGACCTATAATATTGAGATTTAATAAATAGATGCATCCTGTTAAACGCTTTTTTCCTTATTTAAAAATATGTTATTGGTGTTTTTATTGTTATACTTTAATACATAGGGACAATAAAATATTAATAGAAGACTTTTGGTGCCATTTTTAGTGGCTGTAAGATGCAAGCGATGCTGAAATACGAACTCATAATACTATTGAGCTGCGTCTTCGCGGTCATGTTCAGTGCTATGACGTCACAGCTAAGGTACCGAGTGAAGCGAAATTGTTCTAGCGAGAGCAACTTCAAAGTCCCATAACTTTTTTATATTATGTAAATATTAAAGAATTTTTTCTAAGATTTTTTTATTATTCTTTCATTTTAAATAGAAAAAATAGCAAACTTCCTCATTGTACCAATTGATGCAGTTTTAATCTGGGCTCACATTACTGCTATTTAAAGTCTCAATGAAATGATCAGATCGCCCTCAAACCGATATCAAACTATTTAGAAAAATGCGGCGATTCAAAATATTATGTATAAGTTAATATTGCCAGGATGTCGCTTAATACAAATTGGCTACTTGATTGTTTTGGGAAGTTTTTTAAACCTTACATATAATAACTACTATATATATATTAAAGCACTATCAGTATTTTTTTTTCGAAAAGTGTAAACAAATTTACATACATTAATTTAAATTGTCCAGCGAAAGTAATCAGTTAAGTGACATTTCGAGCCGTCATGTTATGTTACATTTCGATAAACATGAGTACTGGTTGCACACGCAAACGACGTTGACGTTTAGTTTATTGAAATGTGACGTCATACGATGTCATGGCCGCCGTTCGACTCTTGTAATCTACAGCAAGTTAAGTAACCAAATAGATCGAATAGTATCAAAGTGCATGTTTGTAAACTAACAGATGAAATGCAGGCCAGGAGGGATAACACTGTTCTCCAGTGGGGCGACTGTTGATGTTAGGATGCGTCCATGCCGCGCTCGTCGGCGGTTGAGTTGCATTGTACTGGTAACTGGAAGGAGATGGATGAGGGACATGTTGGTTTTCACGAGGCTTGAGGGTTTGTTTGACAATACGAATTTTAATCAACACACAGTAATTATAAAAGTAGTGTTTATAATGGACGCAATTAATTTATCACATAACTGTGTTTGAGATCAATGGGAGGTAGTTTCATTTTATTGATAGTATTTAAACCTTAGCACGAAAACCATTATTCTATGCTTCGACCTTATAATCATCATCACCCTATCAATGTCCCCACTGCTGGAGACAGGTCTTTCCTATGAATTATATTAAAGATATAGATATAGAATTACATTGTTTATGTCACACAGAATTTATAGAGTACCTAAATATATTTAATATACTTCAATATTAACATATTGTACTATCTGTAGTTTCTCTTGTCACGTGGGTGTTAATTACACAAGGTTCCTGACCATAAGCAAGTCGCTGGACTTGTATCGTAGTTTCACGGTTAAAGCAAAGGACTTCCGCAAAGTAAAGTTTAATTCTATTGAATAATAAAATGTACTTACAATCCAACTGGCACGACATTCGGCGTTGACGTCGTCGTTATTTGCGACATAGGCGTCAACATTGGTGTTACGGGGTATGACGTCACGGGATACGAAGACACGGGGTATGACGTCACTGGAGATGGTACAGAGGTGTTCAATAATGTTGACAACGGCGATAACGTAACAACCGGTTGGTGTTTTTTTGCTTCAACCGGCACACGTATTTTTAATCTTATTGGCGTCAGCTTTGGCCCTTTGCCGACTAGTTCAATAGTTTTATTGGTTTCGACTGGTTTTTCCTCTGGCTTATTTATCGGCTTCTCAACCAGTCTTTCCGTAGTATTTTCCACCGGACTCTCTTGAGGTTTATCAACCGCTTTTTCCGGCTCCAGTTGAGGGATCGCCTTAAATGGGGACTTTCCTTTTGTGAGGTCTAACTTTTTTAGAATGTCTACTCCTAATACCTAGAAGGAAAAAGCTATGTTCTCAATGTTGTAAATTTTACGGAGACAATACAAAAACAACAACAAATAAAAAGGATATATCATATGACCATTCAACCAAAAAAGCTCACAGGTGCATTAATTAAAAACGTAAATTTCCTCAAATTATAGAAAAGTATTACACGAACCTTCACGGCTATATCATATAGTGGGCCACTGTTTATAGCCTTTCCGGTCGATTCATGTTCTTTAAGAGCTTTCTGCGTACTATACTGAGCAGCGAGCGTGGCCGCATCTTCATCTAACATAGGGTTACCAGTTAAGTATGTGTGAGCAACGATCTTAATAAAGTTCTGGTTACTAAGCAACGAGGGATGCAATGGCACACGCTGTTCATTATTTTCAATCTCCTTCGGTATCGGATTCATAGTTTTACGTGCCGGTCCCGGCTTCTTCTTCGGAGGAGGTATTTCCTCGTCATCACTCAACAATATACTAATCATTTCTTCATGCAACTTCTTTGTTTGACTCTCTATGACGTCACTGTTTCTTGTGCTCCCGCTTTTAGATGTAGCGGCGGATCGCTTTGATCTTATACCTGTATTAACCTTATCGTCGATCGGTTCTTCTTTAACGATCGCGTTCTGTACTTCATCGCCGGAATCGCCTATAATGGGACCTTCCTCAGCGAGATCGGAATCGTCCTCAAGATAGTCAGGTTCATCCGCGTCAGCCGCGTCCTCGACGCAAGTAGGGGCATCTTTCAGATCGTCGGGTACGAAGTCACTTTCATCACTGGCAGGAACGATAGAATCGGTGATGGCATTAAAGCTTTCCTCCGCTCTTAAGGCGGCACGTCTTTTCCTTCTACCGTTGGCTTTTACTAAATCCTCCTTAATAGTCTCAACCGGTTTCATTATCTCTGGAGTGATTTTTTTCTTGCCTCTCTTTCTTCCTCTCCGTTTGAGGTTCCGGTTTTTCCTTGGAGGTGGAAGTGCTCGGTTCATTAATAGTGTTGTTTACTGACTCACAAACGATATTTGTCAATTGGCGCATAGGTAGATCATTTTTTAAGAGCACATTGGCTATACTAGTAGACAATTCGTCTGAAGGGGAAATCTCTTGCAGACTCTCTTGTATATTTCCGCCAGCGACTAGCTTCCGAACCTTGGACACTAAATTTGCTATTTCATGCGGCTCCTGTCTGACGTGGAAATTGTGCTTGATCAGGATATGAGTGATTGTGGTCACTAGTTCCTCTTCTCTTTTTTCGTCTACGGGTGCGGACGGGTTTATCGATGTTTGTGGCTCTATAGGTATATAACACGAGATGACAGAGTTCTTCTTTTGCCCTCTCTTTCGTTCGGGTTTCGATTCGGAAGACGCGGGGTCGTTGCCCTTCTCGGATTGGATAGGTGATAATTTCACGGCAGCAGTTTTCGTATACGCATGACCGTTAATCTCTTGCATTTCTGTGAAATAAAAGTTAAATAATATAATGTTTTATTAGAAAAGTAACTCATAAATGTTTATTTTACTTTAATAATCTATAGCAAAAATATTTCGGAAAAATATCGGTTCTCAGATGTTCACGACGTCATGATATATGCAAACAAAACAAGTATAACGTCATTTTGGGTCCTGCCACAAAATAAAAGGAAATAATAATACATCCACGGGTAGCTACATCATATGCGCTGAACATAAGCTGTATTTTATCTCGAAAAACGGCAAACACAGGGTTCAAAATCGGAGTGGAATTTTGAACCGAGAATTAAAATGTTGCCATAGTAACTATTGTTTACTTGCCACTGTAATTATATCCGTGTCATTATATAAATCGATATCCACATAAACAATTCCCTAGGGATAGCACGGGCGGAGCCGCTGACAACCAACTAGTAATATATATGTCGTCGCCCGATCGTTGTATTGGTCAGATCGTGGTATGCCCAGGCGCATCGTGATATGCCGGCACTTCATGATCAGGCCATTCTACACCGACCATATCGTTCGACGACCATCATCTGTCGAGTTGCCCAGCCATACTAGGGAATATCATTTGTGTAGCATTATGAACCAAATATGTTTCCTTCAACAAAAGCACTGCCACACGTTTGTTGTATATTATCATACACTAACATAACCTAACCTATATGTTATAAAATAAACTTATACAAGTATAATACAAACTTAATTCTTGCAAATATATGACACAAGCGTTCTTACAAATTCTTACAGTTCTAACGGCGCGAATGCAACTGCTTCATGATCCGCCCAGTGTTGAGCTGGGAATATCGACAAAAATGTTATTCTCGTCGATCTGCACATCTTGATATAGCCGGCCAAATCAAGAAGTGTCGGCGTACCTCGATGTGCCCGGGCATATCACGATCAGGCCAATACAACGATACAATCTATACTAATATTGTAAACCTAAAGAGTTTGTTCGTTTGTTTGAACGCGCTAATCTCAGAAACTTCTGGTTCGAAATGAAAAATTATTTTTGTGTTGAATAAACCATTTATCGAGGAAGGCTTTAGGCTATATAACATCACGCTGCAACTATTAGGAGCGAAGAAATAATGGAAAATGCGGATGCAGACGAAGTCGCTGGTGGCCACTAGTATATATACTGACGCTTGTTGGCGTGCTCCTCCTGGAACTGCATCCAGGCGGCGTTCCGCTCATGCTCGGGCAGCCCCTGCTCGCCGGAGCCGCGCAGCAGAGAGTCGTGCTCGTGCACCGCGTGCAGGTTCGTGTCGCGCGCCACGCGCAGTAGCACCACGTCCTCCACGCCCACCGCCACGCCGCCCGCCACGCCTACGCCCGCCTCGTCGTATCTAAACAATATCAGTGATATGAACAAGATTTAGCGTCAGAGTATATTTACGCTAAGATTACAATTTTATTGTAAGTCTAAATTACTATTGTACGTACTTTGATAAGTTTAAAATTTAGACTAATACTTAGTGTAGTCTCAGCGTAAACTTACTCTAACGCTAAACCCTGTTTATTAATAACACTGGTTATGTATAATCCACGCAAATAGGGCAGTTTCGGGAATGAAAAATAAGATACGAAATTGTACCAAAACTAAAATTTACGTTGTAATAAACATAGATTCTGAATTTGAGTCTTAAAAATGTTCTCTGTGTGTCACATGAATTGAAACACAATCCGCCATTGTGTGACGTCACTGTAGCGATAGCTGTCAGATTAGTAATTCATTCATTCATTCGCCATTAAATTAAAGGGCCAGTAGCCCAATTGGTCGGCTGATTGTACTACTTGGCTGCGATATATATTTAATATATTAATTAAATTCGTAGATGTCGCTGTTCTAAGCTTATGTATATGTCGCATCATCTTTACGAAGATCGTTTGATTTAGTTTCTTTTATTTTAATTGCTAGTTACTCGATTACTTAATTACTCGATTGTAGAGAGAGCGTGATCATCGATACTTTTAATTTTATTAGAATGGTGACACCGACTTTGACAGTTCGTTAATAAAAAGCAAGTTGCCGCCATTTTGGCACACATTCTGTTTCCGATCGCCGAGGAGTAAAGACATCTGACGACATCACGCTCATCTCGTTATATTTTCGTATGAAAAGTGATAAAATGGAACAAATCCACGTTGGTATACAGCCCGCAGTGTTATTTTAAAGATAGTCCTCCGATATGGACGATCTATTTGGGCTTCATAATAGCCCCTTCTGACTACCCGCCGTTATGTATATTTTTATTTCATAATAAAACGTTAGATGAACCTTTTAATCTCCTATTCTGTACATCTGTTTAGTGTACCTCTCACAATGATATCATGAAAAAACGGACAATGTCTTCGCGGGTATAAAAGATAACTGTTAAAATCATCTGCATAAGATTAGAATTAATTTGCTCGTAAAATCAAATCCCATGCCGCGCCTTACCGCAACTCCTAATATTACTCGATTACAAATAGAAGGTGATATTGTCGTCTTACCTGTATAGTTCAGTGAGATCGGCCATGTTATAATGTCGATCTATCTGTTGCTCATCCACGACGCGGCACGCCACGGCTTGCTTCGTTACCGAACGCTCATATATTTTCTGCTCCATTGTACCCTAGAAACAAAGAATATATTTAACTTTAGTTTCCCCACAACTTCATCCACTTAAATACATTCACCCGCGTATGATATAGCTTCCGTATGTAAAATAATTTTTAATTTCAGTCCAGCGGTTTAGGAGCCTACTCGATGCAAACAAATAATCAAACCTTTTTATTATATAAGTATAGCTGTTTAAGTAATTGTCCGAAATAATAGTAAACTAAAAGCTAATCTTCCTGGTATAAGAGAGATAAAAACTATACTATTTATAGTTTTTAAATAAAACTATAATATCCGTATATGTAAGTTAAATAGTATCCGTATATGGATCGTATTATCGGTATTAAGACTGTGTTCTTGAGAAAGCTACTAATTTATCTCTATTGTAATAACACTCCGATATAATAAGTAGTAATATAACATATACTACTACCATTAAATATAAAAAAAACTATTACGCAATATACCACTAACACAAATAATATTAACAGAAAATGTAAACCATATGACTTAAAATTTTGTTTTAAATTTAATTGTGTTTTGTGATTAAGCATCATTACCAGAGCTACTAGCCGGTAGATATAGCAGTCCTTCTTCTGTCCAAAACGATATACACGGAAGATGCTCTGTATATCGTGGGCGGGGTTCCAAGACGTGTCCAATATGATGACCCGGTTGGCGGCTGTCATGTTCAACCCTAGACAACCGGCTCGAGTAGAGATCAGGAATAGTCTGAAATAGTGAGTCACTTTTTATATTTATAATAAATAAATATATAAAATAAGGGTCAGTGTGACGGAAAATAAGTAGCGTATCTTCGGTCGCGAAACGTCAGATCTAGCAAATATAAATAACTAGCTATCTTCCCACGACGTCGGTCGTGTACGTTGTAGCCTATGTTGCCTTAAAAAGGGTCAGTCACGGGATGAGTGACCAAAACAATGATTATCTTGCTCGATCATCTTTAACCATCCATAAGGAAGACCTGTGCTCTTGCAGTGGGGATGTAAAAGGGCTTTTGAAGAATAGGACCAGTGTTTCCGAGGATTACCCTATATAATCAAAGATTTATATGTATACCTCAAGCAAGCTGTACAGAATTAATAGTGATACATTGAGAGCATGCGTCGGCATAGATATTGAGAGCTCTAACATAAGTTTAGGTATACGTAAGCAAGACAGCAATAATAACAATGTATATCTTAACCTTGCACATTAGATTACAATAAAGTTGTAAAAACGCGTCAAAAAAACCTCACAAATGTGGCTTCCCCTGAGTCTTTGTCTGCGCAGAAAAGACTAGGACCAAAATAAAGATTAATAGCTATAGTGAGTCTTGTTTTCTTAACTATAAAGTGCAAAATACAAGGTACCAAGTATCCGTCTTATGCCCGTTTTCATAAAGTTTTGAGTCGCCCAAATCTGACACCTAACGACTTTAAGCAACGATTAAAATTAGGGCATGCATTGTGCGACGCCTAGTGCTGGGCATTTGCATAATGTGACAGATACATTTACTCTTTGGCCATAACGAATGTGTCAAGGTATAAAATCAATTGAGTAAATTGGAATGAAGGAGTTCATATATTAGAATTAAGATATAAGTAATGATAATTTAGAATTTTCGTACTTATTATATAGGGTTTTGTTAAAACTATATTTTTATATGAAATATTTTACATAAAGCGTTATCTAACAACTTATCTATTTAAAAAAAATACAGGATGGCATTTAGTAAAGAATTTATAGGCGTTACGTTTCAAAATAAATACAATTGGGGTAAGATTATGGAGGAACTACCAATTAAATCAATATTTATTGTCAGCTATAAATAAGGATTTTTAAAGATTTTATTCATTATCCTTTTTTGCAGTTTTTAAGGATCTTTAAAAAATTCAGATTCATAACTACGTAGCTATAGCATTCATAATATAGATTTTTTCAAAGTATGTATTTTATTAATACTGCAACGAAGCAAAAATTTCAAGTCGTTATAAAAGTCACCTTGACACATGATTAAAGTATTTATAAGATGACGATGCGTTAATATACGATGCTGAATTCCTTTATGTGAACAGATTTTAGCCGCGAGTACAGAAATTGGGTTACAATTTTTTCAAGAAAAAAACAAGCCCAGTAGTTTAGAATTCTGTTAAGTAATACTAAATAACTAAACAATTGAAAGTTTTATAATCGATACACACATAAAACAAATAATAAATTCTAATGCAGAACAGCACGACTCACAGTCGGGGCCCATTCAAATTTTACCAATCAAATCTTCCCAAAGGGCCCCATACATACATACATAGACTGATAAACACATTACCGTCCTTTGCGTCGCGCTGTAGGGTAAAAATATACAAAATTATACTTACTTGGTGTGAACATTTTGATCAGAGTTGAATTCTCGGCACCATTTCTGCCGCACCTCGGCGGGCACAGAGCCGTCCAAACGGTAATACTCCTTGCCCAGACTCCAGTCTTTTATCTTCTTTAGGAAGTATTCTAAGGCGTCCATGGTGAACAGCGAAGTGGAGAATATTAACCTGTCAGACAAACGCTTTACTTGTGAGTAAAGAAATATATTAAGCCTTATAGTTCCTTGTTCACTAAAGTGAGCAAATGTGTTCTTTATATAAATATGTTAATAAGAGGGTTTACTAGTTACCTTATATAAGGAAGGTAAAAATAGGTTTTTAATTTAGAAAAAGAATCTTTAGTTTCTAGAAACTGTAAAGCAATCAATAGTTAACACAAGTAAATTTCATATTTATAAAATTTTATAGTTTTACACAATCTAGGTTAGTGGTTCCCAGTGTTGATTAAGCTCTGACCTATCTAACAAAATATTTCAATCATAGGATGGGTCCTAAGATTGAAAAATTTTGTTAGATAGGGGTCTCTTAACTGTATCTCTTACTATATTTCTTACTAGCTTTCCGCCAGCGGTTTCACCCGCGTGGTCAATCACTTTGTATTTTAATGAAAACCGCGTTAAATTCCGTTGTGTAGTTATAAAGATGTCAGCATACAGACAGCGGGAAGCGCCATTCCTTGGCAATCAAGAATAATACAACTATAAGATGAATATGTTAAGTTCTTACAGTTTATCGCCGAGGGCGATGCACTCCTCAAGTATGCGGAAGATGCATACGAATTTGTTGGAGCTATGCAAGGAGTCCAGCATCTCGCCCCCCTCCAAGTACTGAAGCCACCAGGTATCAGTATCGGCGGGCTTAATGTCTTCCGCGTTGAGATCATCACGAGCCAATTCATCTTCTAGTTTCTCCACTTTATAAATAGAGATTTTTTTCTTTCGTTTATTACAGTAATAATTAAAAAAGATTATTTCTTTCACGTAAATAAAGTAACAAATAAATTTTAATAATTTAATTAGCAACGTTTGAAATCTCATTAAGACAGGGATATACATAAACTGGATTATAACATCAGTCTAGTGAGTTGTAAACACAACACGGGAATGAGTAGGGCATAAAACGTCCTCACTTTTACCCCAAAAACTTTCTTTTTAAATATTTGTAGTGATGTGAAAAAGTTTTTTTTTTTATATCCATATATTAAGATTAAAGATAATAGTTAATATATTTTTTTAAAAGTTATTATAAGGCTACTATTCTTACAATGACATTTTCAAATGAATTTATTATAAAAAAAAACAAAACGACTATGAATCTGGGGTCTATGGAGAAATATCTATAATTACACTAGCTGACCCGACAGACTTCGTCCTGTCAAAAAGATTTGTAATGTGGCAGTTTTTTTGCCTACGTATTTAAAAAAATTCTCCTGAACAGAACCGTCACCCTGGTGATAGGGCGTTGTGAATAAAAAATAATTAAATAAAACATATATAAGGATTTAAAAGTAAGTAATCGCTTTATTGTTAATCATGTGAATCATAATTATTATTGCAATGTATTAATAGTAATAGTATTAAATATAGAAAAAAGATTTTTATGATCATAAAAACACATTACACACAACAGCATTATAAAAGTAAACTATTCGAATTAAAAAAATATATAAACATTCTCAAGGAAAAATGCTGGAAGAATCCATCTACCTGTACCCCGGAATGGGACTCGAACCCATTCGCGATCCAGGGACTGCTCTAACCAATGAGCTATCTAGGACCCAACAGCTTTATAAATCTATAAAAAGGATAGTGAGTAGTGTGGAAGCCAAAAAGACCTCTTCGCTGTCCAATAAAGTAAAGTTAGATTATTAATTCATTATTTACTTACGTAATACGAATATTATTACTACCTGAGGGATACTGCAAATACTATATTATTTGGATTACCTACTCACGTCCTGGCTTTTTTAAGCGGCATTCTAAATAGCAATAATAACTTTTCTCAAAAATGGGACTATCAATCATATTTGTTTTCCTCGTCAAATCAAGTATCCTCACTTCCCCTTTAGTTCTCAAACGTCAACTCTCTCTATTCAAACGTCAACTTTTTGAATTAGTAATCTCAGTTTCCACCTTTAGTCTATCGCGTCAACCGTAGTATTAGCACTTAACGCATTTTACTTAAGATTTTTATATGAAACGTATATACTTTGTGATTATATTTTGAATGCAGATAAAATTTTCTAAAAACTTATCCTATAAGTGATTAATCACTGCAGTTCTGTTTTAGCTCTCGGCAGGATTCGGAACTATTTTTGTATTTTAGAACTCGTTATTAGAGGGGAATCATCTTGAAACAACTATGAAACATGTTTTCCTGATAGAGAAAATTATCTAGGCGGGTTTCCGTTGCACCCATAAAAATTACCCGCCTTTAAAAGGCACGTTGGCAGTCAGGAAGTTAACGGAAATAGTTTTGTTGTCAACAAGTCAACTCTAATATTAAAGCATTAAGGTTTAATATAATATGAAAAAGATATATTTGTATCAACTGACGTTCTATTGACTGTACCGTTTATTATAATACTCACATTTTACTTTACTTTTAATATCGTCTCTGGTTCTACTTTGAAAGTTATGCAGCACTTGCGGATGTGACCAAATCTTCTGCAGTATATGGAAATCTTTGAGCACATTGTTCTTATTACTCTGTGTGCTTGTACAATTTTGCAAATAATGCTTGTATAGATCCCATTGGCATTTGGACAGTGACACGAAAACAGTATACTCGTGCTTCTTCGGTAGGTAAGGGTAGAGCACCGAAGCTTCTTGCCTTTGGAGACAACCTTCTAAAACTTTATGTAGAATATGGGTGCGCGCCTTCATTAGCCTGATGTCTTCCTCACGGGAGTCACGGTGCTGACCATTCATGATGGGATTTTCGAACCTATGCCAGAAAGTATATAGTTTAGAATATAATTGAGTTCAAATAAACAAAACACTACTTATCGATTTAAAATCTCGATTAGTAAAAGAAAGAAATATAACCACTTGCGACGTCAGTTATCGAATTGTAAGTCACGTACGGGAAGGACAAGTATAGAAAATCTTCAACAACATTTGCCAAAAAAAAAAGTATAAATCAACAACATTAACTCAATAATCTGAGTGTAAAGATACTTGGGAGGCTACAGAGTTATTTTTTATGCCAAAAAAAAAGCCTTGAAACGGGTAACAACAACATCTCGATAAATAAAAAACTTATTACATACAACCTTACCTGTTAGAGTACTCCGAATATGTTCCAAGGAGATTCGGCTTCACAAAGTTAACCATACAGTAATACTCCCTCAAATTGTTTTGCATCGGAGTACCAGTGAGTATTATCCTTCTACTCGTGCGGACGCGACTCATCGCGACAGCCAATACTGAGCAATCGTTCTTCAGTAAATGTCCCTCATCGCATATAATGATGTCAGGACCAGGATCTAATAGAGCGGTCCTTATCTTGTTCACTATCACTGGTCGGACGTCGTCAAGGTAAGCGTCTAGTGTTGTCAGACTACGGAACAACTCGTAGCCGATTATGAATATGCCACCACCTTTGTACCAGTCTTCGAGTTGATACGCTCGCTCATACGTCTTTTTTAGTTTTGAAAGTTCGAATACCTAAACGTGTAACAAAATAATATATTGTAAACTTTATTATCACACTGAAACGTAGATTTTTCAAAGCCGGTAAAACTTATTAATACAATATTACGCTTCCGCATGTGTTAGTTAACAAAACAACTTTTAAGAAATTAAATTATTAGAAACGACTAAAAGTATAAAAATAAAATAACAAGCGTTTTAGAAATAGATCAAGATTTGTTTTAATTAAAATACCTGCAGCTTCCTCCTTAACTTTGTCGGCTTGAATTGAAATATGTATTATTAACATTGATTAATAAATAGATAATCACTAATTAAGCACAGTGTATATTATCATTTTTGAAATCCGGTCGCATATTTAACTAAAGTGTTATTGCAGACTTTAAGGATAGCGGACAGAAGATGCGTCGAGTATCATCGGTCAAGAAAAGCCAGAACTGACAAATATATACTACGGATTTGCACCGAACTAGGTTTATGTATTATTTTGAGATGTAATCCCGGATGGATCAATAGAGACAACAAACTTCGCTAGAACTGCTTTAGATCTGGGTTGTTATAACATCTTGTAGTTTCAAATATCGTATGTTTTTTAAAGGGTTCCGTACCCAAAGGGTAAAACGTAGAAAAGAGTAAAGGGTTACTTAGACTTCGCTGTCTGGGTATCTGCTAACGGACTATATCTTATTAACCATTAGACAATTAGAATTGTCACAGATGATGTATTTCTGTTGCCGCTTCAACAACAAATACTAAAATCCATACAATTAACGTGCTTTGTTGCTCGAAACGGAACCCTTCGTGCGCGAGTCCGACTCGCACGTGACCGGTATTTTGTAATCTTCATGCTACACAAGCCGTTCTTAGCGTAACGTGTAATATAAAGTTATATGAATCCACGTAGTGGGTTATGGTCAGTTTTCCCTATTGGATAATAATAGAAACAAACATTATAGGCTAATGATAATACAATACCTTAATCTGATCGGTGACCGGTCCTATCCATTTATGAATTTCATCCACCCAGTTGAGTACAGTGGACAGCGGGCAACACACAAGAACACGCTGCATGCCCACGCGCGGGTGCGTCAGTACCTATCACGAAACAATGTATTAGTAACTCTCTAATAATAGGGATGACGACTGGGTAAATAAAAATATTTAGTCGGCCAGGCAGATAATAGAAAAATATTAGATACGTTTTTTTTATTTTATTGCTTCAATTTAAACAAAAAATGACGTTGAATTGGGGGTTCGCTACGTTATAGTTTTGTAGAAAATGTACAAAAACGTGAGATCATGCCACATTTTAACTCAATGTATCGCCGTAATTTATTAATTAAGCAAAAAAAAATGTGTTTAATATTCTTTAATAATCTACCAGACAGATAAAAAAAAAAACAAAAACTAATCATCGCCCCTATTACTACTAAGTGTGGTCCTGATAAAATCATACTAAGATTGCCTGCAATGATAGCCTATTGAATAATACGCGATTGAATATTTTATTATAGGAATGTTGTATTATTTTGAATTATTCTTTTTCGAGAAAAATCTGATAACGTTGATGCCCGTTATCAGATTTGGTTGTTGTTTATAAATTAACAAACAATATTACGTAAATAACACAAGTTTTATCACAACTACTGTCTTCCTCACAACTTCCGCCATTTTGTCTTGAAATGAGACTAACCTAACCTAAATGAAACCCTTATTTAACGTTCAAATGGCTTAGAAAATTAGAATAAGAGTTTAATTACTACATTTGATCAATTTTACATCCACAATGTTATACTGAAAAATATTCTTCATTAAGAATATTTGAGTTTAAGTTACAAAAAAAAAGAGTTTAATCTGTCGAGGGCTCAATGCGTGAGTCTTGCGGAGCATGAACTCGTTTGAAGTCGATTCCCTCAATCATAGATGGGGGGAACAGTTCCGAAGATCTCAGGAGGTTTGTGGCCTCCAGGGCCAACAGAGGATATCGCACGATTTCCCAGGCTCCAGGCTGTTCTTGCTGAGATGCCCCATGGGAATTAGAACACTAAAGAATTTAAAGACTATGAATACAGTTTAAAACGCTCGCGCAGAGGCCAGAACTAGAAGTGAACGCCCTTCGGAAGGTTTAGTTCGGATAATAAAATAGGCGGAGAAGGAGATAATGATGGGACGAGAGTAGCATATTAGTCCTGGAGTATTTTGAAAGCAATTAGCGACTGCACAGTTTTAACAATAAACTATGAAATATATATAAAAAAATACCTATCTTATACATAAACAATAACTATGTATTACTACATAGTTATTGTTTATGTATAAGATAGGTATTTTAATTTAAAATATCATGTAAGTATATAAACATTTTTAAATCAAAATCAACTGGCTATGTACAATATATGGGTTACAAAAAACGAAACGGCCCAGGTGTATCGTAGCATACTCTGGCGCTAGTGTACCCAATCAAGAGTACGAAAAAGCATAATTGCAATGTCGATCGGTCGCGATTGCGTTCGAGAGTAAGGGGGTAGAGCATAGTGTGGCGTCACATTTCAATGAAGGGACCTTCGTCTTTGTTGCGAGTACAACTAGTACAACGGATCGAAATATCACGTGACTGTTTTAACATGACAAAAAAAATGAAAAAATAAATCATCATCATCAGTCCTTTTACGTCCCACTGCAGGGGCTCAGGCCTTCCTTATGATGGTAAAGGAGGATGGGCCATGATCGTCAACGCTGGCCCAATGCGGATTGGAGGGTATTAACGACTGCAAATGCAGCCGGGACCAACGGCTTAATGTGCGTTCCGAAGCACGGAGTAGCTCGAGATAAAAATTTTTTGGTCACCCGTCCCGTGACCGACCCTTACGATAGTTGCTTAACAACAACGATCGCGGGCCGCGGCGCTTATCCACTACGCCACCGAGCTACTCCTAAAAAAATGTTTTCCCTTATTTAATAATAACACTTTTTGGAGAAAATTAATTCAGGTGGTTTAATATGATCATATGAAAGTTTTAATATAATCTTCTCAAAACAGTCAAGTAGCCAATTTGTCAAACAATACAAAAGGAAGTCATCTCAAAGAAGAAGGGTGCAGGAAGAGAATCTTGAGAATTATGCTGACTCTTGAAGTTAAAAAAAGATATGATATAAGTAGCATGAAAAAAATCAGTGATGTGTATTTACCGTATGCAATAATGCTAGCACTTGCAAAGTCTTGCCGAGTCCCATACAGTGAGCTAGTATGCAGCCGCCACCCGGATGTCCAGACTTGATGTCCTCCAAGCTCTCGAAGCAAGCGTCCCACATGAATTTCACGCCTTCGTACTGTTTAAATTGAAACATCACATTATTAGTTTTAACTGACATGAGATGTCACTGGTGTTCAAAGTTAACGATTTCATTATTTTCATATATCATAAAATTTTTATATATCTAATTAATTTGGTTTATTTATTTTTCCCAAAAGCGCCCCTTTAAGTAAATAAAAAAAAACATCCGTTTTTTATTTACTCCCTCACGATCAAAGACACGTCGAAATTGATATTAATAATAAATATTACTAATAGCCTAATAACTTCAAGAAGTAAATAATAATAAACCACATGGCACTGTTTTTACATATGTAGGGCTCTTTTCTATACTAATATTATAAACAGGAAACATCTGTTTGTTGATTGTTTGCCTTTCAGCTGTTGCTGGACAAATTTAAAGATCCTTTAACGAAAGAAGCTATAACATACGGGGGGCTATAATTTATGCGGACCAAGTCGCGATAAAACATCTAGTCAAAAATATAACCCGATCCGATAACACACGCATTGTATATCAATTTTGTCATTCTGCAATACACTTTTCTTTCCACATATCCGAAAGAAGGTATGGAAAGAAAACTGTATTGCAGAATGAAAATGACAAAGGAACAAGCCTGTTAACTTTTTTACTGACACTTTCGTCCAGTTAAACTTTCTTACCCCTTTTTTTACATTACAATATTATTTTAGTAAGTTCTATTACAAAACGATAACTCACCTGATGAGCCTTCATAACTTTGGTGAAGAACGGGTGTATGGTCACGATAGGCCGTTGCATCTCGAAGTCGTACTCCAGACAGACTTCGTCATTAATGACTAGAACATTCACACCCTCCTCGCAACCCAATAGTTCCCTCTAGAAAAAATTTAACCAAACTATAAATGTGAGCTCGATGCATTGAAGAACTGGGCACTGATGAAAAAAGTCTTATTGTAGAAAAAGAATGACAAAAGAAAGATCATTATATTTCGCATAGAACACAAGAAACAACATTGACGTAGGTTTCTTTTCATTTCTTGTTGGTAATTTTCTTATAGTTTGTAACAATACAAGTGTTATAAAAGTTATTTTATTGCTTGTGGTTTGAAATAAATTTTATATTGTGTACAAATATTGTTAATCTCAGTCAACACTAACGCCGCCTATGATAAAACCAAAGTGTGATTTAAAATTGTTAGGTTAGAACTGTTATCAGAAATTAAGACCCCAACACATGTTATAACTGATGAGGATGTGTGGCTTTAATAAAACAATTTTAGAGAGGGTTTATATTTGATTACATTTTTAGATTTTACCATATTACTGTTGGAAATTTAATGTTTTACAAGACTTACATAAATTTATAAGTAATAAGGTTACATAGCTCTATCTTACCAATTTAGATTGTCTCATATTCAGTCTGCGTTTCCTTTCAAACTCCTCCATATTTGCTAAGACAGTGCTTTTAGCCAAACATTTCTTGTCGAGTACCTGAAAAACGTCAAGAATCTATTTATAACCAGTTCCCACTTACATTTTTTAGAATTTAATTAAATAATGAACAGTGAACTTTAATTGGCTACTTTACTGTTTTGGGAATGGTATTTTAAAAATTTTCATGATATTAAACCACTTTATATATTGTACTCCATCAAATCAAATTAATCACTTGATATTTCACGTCTTGATGTCATAATTCAATAAACACGAATACTGGTTCTACTCGCAACAAGATGTTGACATTTATTGAAATATGACGTCACACGATGCTCCATCATGGCTGCTCGCGGTTTAATTTTTGTAATACACAAATTATATATCGCAACTTAATTTTGCAAAAATAAAACCAGCAGAGGTGGATATGTATCGTTCAGAGGGCTGTTATCGGGAATACCGACAAACATCTTTAAAGCGTCTCTCCTACTTCCCCATACACAGTGCCTGACTAAGAAGTTACCACTTCCAACAAATTTTTTTTTTATTGTTGAGATTTTTAGTAATCAGATATGTGTGTACTTACTTTCCTAATATTACGCCTTCCTTTGAAATATGCTGTGTTCCTTCCCTTGCCTTGGTGCGTGGAATCATTAGACACGTCGCCAAAAAGTTCGCGAGACAAAACTCTGTAAAGTTAATATTTAAATTTATATATCTATAAATTTAATAGAAAAATAAGATAACAATAATGTACAGTCAACAGCACGTCAAGATACACAACTTTTTCTTTATAACGAAGGGAAAATGCACCTGAAGCCTTAAACCAGTGCTCTCCAACCACCCCACCCTGAAAAGGGCAGGTCCGATGTGGTTGCCTACCAGGTAAAACCCGCTGCGGTTCACCTCACGAGAATAGAAGAGTTCCTGCAAAGAGGGCCCAGTTTAAGGTGATCCACGACTTTCTTCATCCACTCAATTTTAAACCCTAAAGCATTGATAGAGTTCATAATCGACTGCGGAGAATTTTCATATTGTGGTAACCTGACGTGCTGCATTACGTGAGCGAATAAAAACTGAGTAAATGATTATTTAAAATCGCTTGTAGATTTTAGAAAACAGACTTCAGAAATCTACCGAGAATGAAGGCTATTTTGTAAACTTAATTGTGTGAAAAATAAAAATTAAACAACACATTAGGGGGCGTCCATAAATTACGTGAGGTGTTTTTAAATTTTCTGTCCCTCCCTCCCCTCCTAGTGAGATGTCGTGATATTTTATTCAACCGCCTCCCCCATCCACCGATCTCACGTGAGATTTTTCAAAATTGATGAGTACTTGCGAGTATTTACCTTGTTGTAGTATCGAGTACTCAGTATCGAGTATCGCTTTTGAAAGTATCGATACCTACTCGGTATCGAAAGTATCGTTCGAACCCTACAAATATGGTGGTTTGACATTCAGTAGATGTATAAGCGTCGAAGTATGAATGAAATTATTTTCTTTTGAACGAATTAGTGAATGATCTTAATCGTATTAAGCATGTACAATCTGGATTAAATGGACCAAAATAGTATATATTTTTTTGCCGAGACCCCCCTCTCTCCAACGTAAGATTAGATGAAATTTGCCTCGACCCCTTCCCCCCCTTAAACATCTCACGTAATTTATGGACGCCCCCTTAGGGAATTATGATTTTATAGCGTCGGTAGGCGTTTTTAAAAATAATAGAATATATTTTTTATTTAATTATATGTATATTTTTGATACAAAATTATCTTAATCTAAAATTGCCTTGTCGGTTGCGCGATTGATACGGCAAAAACCACCGAGAACGAATTTGATGGTCCGATGTGGAGTCTGATTATGCACCAGATCTCACAGAGCACATATTTTATATTCTAAAAAAAATGTGTGTTTGAATGCACTAAAGTAGGGCCCTCGACTCGTAACAAGCATAATAACATAGAAACCACATAACGTTAACAAACTTAAGTACAAAAGCACTATGACAAATATTATGTGAGCGTCGAAAGAAAACGATACGTATATCTATACATAGAACTCTGTATCGGTCCCGCGAAGTAGTGAATAGTGTCCTGAATCCACCACGTACAATTACAAATAATACAATGTAGAAATGACATCGAGGTCTATGAATAGCGATACGTATCGCCCCTTTTTCAAACCTCGACATAATAGTATGTCATTATCTGTTCTTTCATCTGCATTAGCAACAGTTTATATTACAGTAATATGCAACTGGCATGGCTCACTGGTGTACAGTCAACTGCACATCAAGTTATACAAAGCTGACAAATTACTCCACTTAATTTTAAAGTTTATCAATGAAAGTAGAACTCAAAATCAACTGTGCAAATTTAACATACATTGGTAGCCTGATGTACTATAGTGAGTATCTCGAAGCGCGGCAAATGTTGGTCAATCGTACCTGCTGAGTATGAGTGAGAAGATGAATATCTAATGAATGCATTGTATATTGCATTGTAAACGAAGATTCATATGCCATATTAGTTGGATATTACTGTAATAAAAAGATCAATTTATATAAATTATAACCTCAATTGTTTCTGTCGTTCCAGCATTTTCTTTGTGCTACGGCCGCGGCGGCCCTTGCGTCGTTTCAGGAAATGCTCAGCGAGATCACCACGTTTCTCTATGAACTCGCTGACAAGCTTGGCACGTTTCGCGTCGTCTTCTCTGCATATATCAAATACAAAAATAAAACTATTTTTAAAAAGCTTTAAATTTTTTTATGCATTTTTCATTAAGAATATTTTTCAAGATAGCATAGTGAACCCAAAATTGATCAAACACAATTTTGTAAACGCAATATCAAGTTTCTGCCCTGGTTGGTAAAAGTTGTCGATATGGGTCTTATAAAAAATTAAGGATAGCTACAAGGGAGCAATGAAACGAAACTGACTGTAGTAGCGAAAAAGTAACAGGTGCTTGAAAGATTCGTCAGTCCTGTTAGGTCCTGGGTAGCTCAGTGGTTAGAGCAGTCGCCTGGATAGCGAAAGGTCGTGGGTACGATTCCCATCTCAGGGTGCCAGGGACCAAATGGATTTTTTAAGCATTTTGTATTAAGAATAGTCCACCAATGCTCCGAAGTTGATAACCAATATTTGTCAATATACCTACAATACCTATTTAGACTAGTTTGAGATATTTCAGAACATATATATTTTAAGTTTTCATTAAAAATTGTCATCCCATTTTAATACTTGTTGGTTATTTAAAAATCCAAAGTTTGCAACTTTTGGATTAAGCCAAAATTAACCCTTTATGAAGATTTAACTCAATATTTTATATGAGCGCAGTGGCGGTAAAATTTCCTTTTTTACGAGTATGTATGTTTGGTTTTTCAGTGCATTTTATCATAGCTTTAAGTTAGAAAGTGTAGCAGATAAACCGGTGCTACTAGAAAAATGGTGATTCCATTTTGCATTTCTTTTGGGTAACTTTGATTTTTTTATTGGGGTTATAAATAGTTTTTTTTTATTGCTAAAAAAAGATGCATTCGTGCTATATGCAATCATAAGCCGGATATTTCTTGCAAGCCTTACTTTAAAACTCTCCAAATTTTGACACTGTCCTGTCTTTATATTTTAGAGGTTTGCATATTTGTAAAATTAAATAGTAAAAAGTTTACACAAGCACAGGATTTGAGCCAAAGATTAAGAAGAACACCTGAAAGACTAGTTTTGAAATTCGTCCCTAAAACTCAAAGATTTCAGAATAGCAGTTACGCCATGTGCCAAAAAATATATAACAAAATACCCAATAATTTCAAACTATTACCGTCTAACCAATTCAAATCTACTTTACGTAAATGATTATTGGAAATGGCATTTTATTTTATTGATGATTTTTTAAACCATGCTACTAGATAAATTAATAGCCAAAGCTATATAAGTTAACACAAAGTTTAATTGCTATATGATTTGTATCTTTTTTATTGTTTTGACGCTATTAATTACGAAAATCTTGACATTTATTATTCTGACATTTAATCTTCAAAATGATAATGATTATGGTAATTTTAGTGAATTTGTTAATTTTGTATAAAAATTGTATTTAATTAATTTAGATAATAATTTGATTGTTTTTACCGGTAATGAAAAATTAATTAAATTTAATATTTGCATGCTATCTTTGTATGGCTAAATAGGTTTTAAGTTCTAATTTTATTTTAATTAATTCCTATCAAATTGTACCCTATTTAAAGGCAAATAAATATCTATTCTATAAATTCACGTTTTGGTTGTAATTGAGTATCTAAAATGTGATGTCGTTCTCCCATTTTGATAGCTAACTTTTTTAAACGTATTTCTTTGTACTAAATCGATTTTTGAAAGTTATTCTCACAGACCGATTGTAAGTTTGTGATTTTAGGCGTACGTGCTCACCGAAGCCTTGCCGCTGGATACCTTGTCCATCAATTAGTTTATAGTACTATAAATGGCAATTAAATGAAAATAAATATATCTTTAATGACATCTAATAGTAACATTTGATATCGATCAATAGGGATGACGACTAATTTTCATTTGTTTGTCCGTCAAGTATTGTGAAAAAAAAAATATTAAATAAGTATTTTTCTTATTTTTCCGTAACCATTAAATTACGGCGATACATTGAGTTGAAAAGTTGCATGACCTTACGCTTTTGTACATTTTCTGCAAAACTATAACGTAGCGAGCCCCCACTCCTCAATTTTAATGCTATCTTATCTAAATCATTTCTTGTTTAAATTGAAGCAAAATAAATACGTATGTAATATTTTTCTACGAGTATTATATAACTGCCCACCAAATTTTTTTTTTTACCCAGTAGTCATCCCAATTATCGACATGCCTTTAACATATTATGATATGGGTTCCCATCACTACGGAATTACGTAATGATGGGAACTAGCTAATAGCGACGTCGCAGTTACCCCGCCCGCCACCTATCCCACCGCTAAGATTGGTATCTTTATTTTTTGAACAAAATAATCATGGACAACTATTGAAGGTTATCTGTGACCTAACAGGACTGACATTTTTTAAAGCACTTCTTATTTTTCGCTAATAGCGTATTTTCGCGTATCTCCATCATTGTATAGGCTATACACCCAAACAGCCAAAAGAAAATTTCCGAAAAAATGAAAATATGTCTAATTATTGTAATTGATCAATTTTACCTTCATAATACTAAACTGGAAAATATTCTTAATGCATTGAGACTGCAAAATTGGTCAAATATAATAATTAGAATTCCTTTTTTAACCCAGGCACAATCCTCCACCCTATTCTCTAAACTAAACAAAAAATAAACGGTTTTAATATTTAATCATAGAAGTATAAAACTATATGTACTCCTGTTTACTAACGTAATTGAACACTCAGTTTGTCAGGACCAAACCTTTTAAGCGATTCATACACTAAGCAGATACGGTAAGGTATCTGAACGTATATCTTTCAATATCCGTTTTAATATAACTCACACACACAACACAGATAATATATTTTTTATCGTAAAGTATCTGTGGGTAACGTGTGGTTACAAACGACATATGTATATTGAAAGATGGTGAGAATATTAACTGTGTATATAAACGTAAATGCAGATAACATCTCCCGATACAGATATGGCATAATATATTACCTGCAGTTAAATACAGATTCGGAAATAGATTGTAAATTTGTTTCTACTTCGTAAGCTTTATATGACGTTCTATCCAAATTCTACGCGTATTAGTAAAGTGTAACGCATCACGTGCATCAAATTCAAAATCAGATTCCTCTTGTGACGAGCTGTCTAGTAAATCCAGAAGCAATAAATGCGAAATCATTGTAACACCCTGTATAAACAATCTACACAATAGAACAAGTCTACACAGTTCGAAAGATTTTGAATGAATGTATCATTTTGTATATTATCGTATCTGCAGTGTGGGATACTTTCAGATGTTTACTTTTTTTTACGCAGATCAAATATTATAATATCTGCATAGTGTGTAAAACGCTTTAATCTAACTTATGCAGAGAATTGCTACCAATATCTTGGGTCAGAAATCTTGTAAAAACAAATCGAGAAATGCCGTGACATGCCATGACATACCGTGTGGTGTCCTTTTTGTTGATCATCTTTTTGAGTAATTTCTCTTTTATGGTGAACCATTGTTTCTTCTCTTCTTCCGATGAAGAGCCACCGTCTTCTTCTTTGACTCGTTTATGGTCAGTTGCAGATTTGTTGGCGCTTCTCTACAAAAATAAAAAATAAAACACTCAGTAGCATTTAGCTTTAAGCCACAACTAAAAGAGCAGATGTCTTATCTGGTAATTGTTTTTATAATTTACAGTCACAGTAAAAAAGGGTATAATTACAGCAAGGAAGGACAGCTTTGTAGTTTTTCTATGAAGAACATATATTTTATTTCTATGTGCCTTTTTTTTCTCACGTTAATGTATAGACAATACCAAAATTAACAAAAACAAATGTATTTTCTCAAGCATGTATACTTATTATAAATTTACCTGTTTACTTCTAGTCACAGGGCACTTCAAAGGTGTCTTTTGAGCTTCCTCAACTGGCAAAATAGGTGCATGAAGAAGGTTCAACTCTCTATTCATCATTTTGTCAGCGGTGAGCATAAATGATTCTGAGTCAATTGGTTCTGTTTTTTTTACTTTAGATTTCGGGCCAATCTTTGGTTTCTTTTTAATTTTTCTTTGCATAACATCCTCGTCAGGTTCAATTTTAACTTTTGTATCATTATCACTGTCCTTGTCATCGTCCATGAGTGAACTCTTTGCCAAAGTATTTTCTGAGTTATTATTCTTCTTAGGCTAAATGTAAGAATAGAATCAATCATCATATCTTAAGTTTAGAACTTTGACAGCCAATTGCACAAACGTCCCATTATATTGTCATTAGTTTAAAGCGACATTAGCCAACCTTAATGTACGTTTGTGCAACTGAACGTGATTATGATAAATATCAAACAAAACCTACATTAGTTATGACCGATGTGTTACTTAAGACGACGCGGTGTTGACCATGATAATTTTTTTTTTACAAGGGGGACCTTTAGATTCCAAAATGCGCAAAGATTAAAAAGATTAGATATTGAAAATAACTGTAAGAAAACTGAGATTTTGAAAAAGCAAACTCTCAAAAACTAATATGACTTCGCCCGCGTGAATTATAGCCAACATCACCCGCGTATTAAGTAGCTACCCATAGATGAAAGAATTTTTAAAATCCGTTAAGTAACCGCAAATAAACATCCTTTTTATAATATTCCTCTTTATAATATTAGTATAGATGAACCAAACAAAAAACAACATGTTCAATATCAAATATTTTTCTATACACAAAGACATGGCCCTATTTAAAGTCAGACAGTAATAGGTTAAAGAGCCTGTGTCCACGCTAAGATCATCCTGCTACCATACACATGTTGTTCCTTTGTTATTACATTGTATATGTATATTTACTTTGGCCTTTAATAGCCATCTAACAGTATTTTAACATCTTTAACTAAAAAGATAAAAAAACGATATAACATTATTAGTAAAATAACTTAATTACTTACAGGGCTACATACTTTGTCTTCAACATTAGCATTCTCGTCTTCTGAAGGCGTTAGTTCGTGATAATCAGAGTAGGTTGGTGACGCTGCTCTTGAATCATTAAAATTCCCTTCTGATACCGTTCTAGAACAAGTTAGCTCTTGAGACAACAGTTTGGTTTTTGATTTACCTTCTCTCTTTGCTGAAATATTTTCGTTTTTCTTCTTGGCCTGAATTTTATAATTGATATAGTTTAACTTCATTTTTTTGTACAATGAATATAAATAAAAAATTATATACATAGCACAATAACAAAACAAAAAAAATTAACAATAAGGCTGAATAAACCACAACTACCCAAATCAAAGGCAAAGAATTAGTATAGAACATATTCCGTATTCTCAGAGCGATACCATAATACAGCAGGCATAAAAATCATATGAACATGGCAGACATCTTATTTAAGAATCAAAAGATATTGTAAAGCACTACAATTTTGCTATTTGCAAAAGCACATATTGAATTCAGTATATGTGATTAAAATAAATATTTGTACATTAAATTTAATTAATGCACTGTATGCCAGTTCATGGCAGTTTCGTTTTTCGTCATTGTATGGAAACTTTCCGCCAGTGATTTCACCTGCATGGTCCCTAGGGAACCTTTTAATAGGATAAAAACTAATCCATGTTAATCGGGACGATAACATCAAATTCATTCAAAAGTAACAAACTTTGGCATTTACAATATTACATTAATAAGATTTTCGCCTCTGAACATCATGGGAAGTCTATGAAAAGATGAATGATTTACTCAGTATACACACAGACTTATTAAAACTTACATGGTTGCCTTCATCATCTGAAGGCACAACTTCATCAAAGTTGACTGGCGATATTGCTTTTGAATCATTATGATTATCTTCTGATATCTGGTCTTGTAGTAGCAATCTGCTCTTTGGTTTACCTTTGTCTCTAATATCCTTTGACCTATTTAAGGTTTGAAGATTTATAAGCCTAGAAAAACATCGCGATTTTTCATTAAGTATTAAGTTATATTTGTAATATATTACAAAAGCTCACCGAGAAAATGACTTATTGCATACTTTTCTATTTATCTGGCAGTGTGTCTATATCTATGAATGTTTTAACATATATTGAAAAAGAAAAATAAATTACCTATCAACTTCATCATCTTCTTTATCCCTATAGGATATATTTTGGTAAGTGAAATATGTCTCAACAAAGGATTCAGGCAATTTCTCTAAGACTATCTGAGCATCCTCATACAATTTTGTATCATTGGATTGTAATTGATAACATTTCCATCCATGACGCAGCTTATATGGCAAACTACGATCATCTCTCTTTATAGCTGCAGCAGTTTTTTCGACTAGAATTTCTTCATGGGGTACAATATTAGAAGTTATCATGGTATCTTCATTATCAAATATAGGCATGGTAGGCTCACATTCTAATAATTCAACAGGTTCATCAGGGTTGATAATAGGTTTGTTAGTTTCAGATTTACTTTCACCTGACACTGTTGGCAGTATTTTATCATAAACATATTTCATATACTTTTGATAATTAAATCCTTCATTCTGATCTACTGCACTAAATCCAGTGAACTGAACACTGTTTGGATCTGGAGAATAACATTTTTTTTGATCATTTATTTGCTGAGTTGAATCAACATTATTGCACTGAATTTCATCATCTTTAGTTTTGCTGTTTTTTTGCTTAGTTTTACTAGCCTCCTTAAGTGTTTCTTTTGTTTTCTTTGATAAAATATTGTTAATTTCTTTAAATTTCTTTGAAGTAATACCATTTTCTGTTTCAGAATCTGATGATGCTATCTTTTTTTCTTCTTGTCTTATTTTTTCGCGCATTCTTCTAGTTAGAACTGCGATTTCATTAGGAGCAGGCTGCTTCTCTTTTGGGTTTTCTTTGGCTACGACCTTTTCTGTAGACAATTGCTTATCTGGTTTTTGATCCACTTTTTTTAACTTTCCTTTACGTTTATCCAATTTTTTCTTACCCGCGGGTTTTTTTGTACTATTGTTTTCATCGCCGCTGCTTTCCATTAGCCTATCTTTCGCATTTTCTATATGCATCGGTTCAAATGTTTGTGGAACTAATAAACTCATAGCCATATCATTTTCTGTATCCCAATCTGGCTCAAATTGCCGCCGAATCCGAGACGCACTTTGACTGAAAATTTCTGGAAAATCATCATGCTCACTGAGAGCATTCATAAGTTTATTAGATTTTACAAATGTTTCAAATGAATCGACATCATAACTAGCGCTATTTTTCCCCTGAACTTGATCATTAGTGAAGTCATTTCCTGTTGATATTGAATTAGTCATTATACTTTCCGGTATAATAGTCATCTCATCCAGGTTATGCAAGGGCTCAGTTTTGATTATAGAAGGGTCAATGTTTTCAGGTTCCTCTTCTGGTTCGATTTTTATTCTAGCAGTAATAACTGTTGCATCCTCAGTTATAGGTGAAGTCCTCTGTTCTTCTGTAGACCTTACAGTTTCTGTTAATTTATTAGGAATAGACCTAAACTCTTTCACCTCTACTTGAGAAATCCAACTGTTAACTTCAGTATTGCTAATTTCGTCAAAATTACTAAAATCGTTATCTTCTGTTTCATCTTCATAAAAATTTGTATCTTCATCAGCATAATAATCATCATTTTCTGTTAAACCTTCTCGTCCTTCTTCTATATTGAAATAGGCTTCCTCAGTTAATCTGTTTATGGAATTTATAGTCAAACATTCTTTAGTTGTCCGTTCCTCATAACCAGACAAACATTTTTTAACTATTTGAAAGCAAAGATTAGATAATGTCTTAACTTTTCCCATATTATTGATAATATTAACATTGTCAGTATTTATTAGATTTGCAATTATTTTAAAGGTAATATGTTTAAGTGTGTTAGGTTCAATTTCCACTTTTTTGCTTAAGTGTCTTTGATAATCATCTACATTTTTGAACTGCAGTTGCTTTTGCATAAATGTTACACAGAGTGTAAAAAGTGATTTAACATTTTGAGGAGGGAAATTGTTTACAGGATGTAATTCATCTTTAGATAATTGCAGATCGAGATTGTAACACTGACTCTTTGGATTACTGTCCTTATGTAGTTCATGGTAATGATTGTCCATTGCTTCAGTAATTTTATTAAAACATAATGTCAGTAGAGGCAAAGCATTTCTGTTCTCTCTTTTTTCTAGGTCTTCCAAACTCAGATTAGGTGTTATATGCAATTTAATATTCTTTAAGCACATATAATTTAACGAGTGTAGGACTTGTCTATTATTTAAACCTTGTTTGTTCACTGATTTATCATAAGGTTTAGAGGTGGTCAAGTTCAGTTGCCTTTGTAAAACTTGGGTACAAAGGGAAAATAATGTACTGACATTGTATGTCTTAAGCTCATTATTTGAATGTTGAATGCTCATATTTTTTGGATTAATAATTATTGTTTCATTGTTTGAATCCAATTCGCTGTCACTTGGTATTTCAGAAACAGATCCACTTGAATATTCATCACACTTTGTAACAAAATAACTGCATACAACATTTTCATTAAAACTATATAACCACTCTGTGGTAACAAAAGGGGCGCAAGCTAGCAAAGCTTGCTTGCGATTATATTCTTTAAAAAAGTTATTTACCATTTCTATTGTTATATAATCAGGTGGTTTTTTTTTTCGGCTGCCCTTGGCTAAAAAAGACTGAGTGGGTTTGACTTTCTTCACCATTACTGAATCACTGATCCACACAGTATGACGCCCCTTTATTTCAAGCTTTTTCTCTTCAGATGGTTTTTTGGCAATTTTTATTGATAATTCTTTATTGAGAAACACTGTTTTAGGATTAAATTTTGGTTTTGTATTCTCTTTTTTTGGTTTCTGTAAAACAATTGGTGGTGCATCAATTATTTCACAATCACTGTCACCATCATCAGACTTCTTGGTTGATAATAGTTCCTTGGGCTTTTCTCTATGTTTCACCAAATCATTATCTTTTAGGAATTCATCATACCGTTTAGACAAGTCTTCTTCCATTTGCATTAAATTATGTTTGGCTAGTTTAAATAGCAAAAACGATTTGCGCACACAATAATCCATTTTAAATGTATCAGTAACATGGGATGTATTAATTTTCTTTGAGATAAAATCTTCAGATTTTTGTGTCATTAGTTGACCTAACTCAGCAGTAGTTTTTACTATACCTTTTAAGAATTCACAAGCTTTTTCTGTCTGTTCTATAGTCAAAGGCACATTATCTTTCATTGGAATATCATATGGCACTGATGTTTGAACTTCAGCAGAAGTAGTATGGACACGTGCAGTCTGTGTGCTAGTCTCTTTAGTCTTCTTTGCATCATTTGGATCTATAACAGGTATCTCAAGAGGCTGAACTGAAGATGCTTTTTTAATCTTAATATCCGTACCTTGAATTCGTTTTGCAATAAAATTTTCAAACTCATTTGAAGCACCCCAGCCCAATTTTTGTTTTGAATCTTCGTTAGCTTTAATCAGTGAGGACTGTAAGCATACTTCAATATCATCTTCTAGTATTAAACTAGTATCAGGTGTTATGGTTTTGACTTCCAATGATTTATCTTTCTCACATTTAGTTTTTTTGCCATATTTTTTAGGGCTCTTGTCAGTTGAAACATCTAATCGCTGTCTCTTCCTTTTCAGTTTGGAATTAAATTCATTTACTACTGCATCAATGTCACTATCTGATGCATCAGAGGAACTGATACTACCATGTTTTTTACCTCCTGGAATATATTCATCATCTGAATAATATTTTCCACTCTTTTTGCCTCTTTTAGGTTCATCATCTTCTGATAATTCAACATTTGCAAATGGGTCCTCATCAGAGTCCTCATCATAGTGAAATGTCTTACGAGCTCTTCTACGCATGGGCCTTTTTGAGATATCTTCAATGAGAAGAGAATCATTTATATCTTCTTTGTTTTCTATGTCATTTACTGAAATTTCTTGTTTATTTTCTTTGATATCAATAGTTGTGTTCAAGTCAGGCTCAACAACAGTTGGTAAATCAGAATTTATTGTTTTAATCTCTTTTATTTCAATCTCCATCAATTCTGTTTTTTCTGTCACACTACAAGGAACATTAGTAGAGTCATTTAGCATCTCTTCAGTATTCTGTGTCTCTAAAGAAACACCATTAGGTGGTTCAAGTGTTTCTTTTAATTTACTTAGAGAAATATCATCACCAAAATCTTCTTCAGACAAAGTTTTCTTAAAATCTGTTTCAGTAGGGTCTTTTATCAAAGTATTTTTATTTTGATGTTTTTTAGACTTTCTTGGTTTTTTAGGACCTTTAATTGGTTTTATAGGAACTGTGTTACTACATTTTTCAAGTTCTAAAGATTGACCTGAGAAAGTAGGTTCTGTATCCATTGTATCTATTTCTTCATGAAAGTCTTTTTCCACAGATAATTGCTGTTTTCTCTTTCCCTTTTTTGTGACTTTTTGTGTCAAATTACTTTCATCAGAAGTCATGAAATCTTTTGCTTCTATAATTTCACTTACTCCTTCCTCTGTTTTCAAAGTATTATTTTCTTCTTTAGGTAAGTCTATATTTTTTACTTGATGTTTCTTCTTAGGCCTTCCTCGTCTCTTAGGATATGGGCTTCCAGAAAAATTTTCATTCTCAGTTGAGGTATTTTGTGATTCAATATCATCAATATTAGCTGGAATTATTTGCATACTGTTGTCTACTTTTTCTGTGTCATTCAATGTTGTCCCAGTAATGCTTACATTATCAATAACTTGTTTGTTTTGCTTAGGTTTCCTACCACGTCTCCTTTGAGGAGTTGATGGTGGTGGTGTTGATTGATATTGCTTATCATCTAGTGTCAAAATTTCCTGTTGTTCGTTATGGGTATGATTTACAGTTAAAATAGAATCATTCTGTTGTGTTTTCTTTCGCCTTCCTTTTTTTGGTCTAGTTTCCTGAGCTCTTTCTATAGAAGAAGAGCATTCTGTTGTATACTCTTTTGGAAGAGATGAGCATTCTTCAACTACTTTATTCTCATCAGGGCCAAGTTCAATGGTGCTGTTTACTTCTGGAACTTGCTCTTCAAGTTGTGAATCTAAAATAACCTCATTTTCGTACCGTATATCATTTAAATCTCCTTGGTCAGATACTTCCTGGCGCGGTGACACTAAATCAGATAAAGTGATAAATTCATCTTCTTCATACATAGATATTGCTTGGAATTTTTCAAATGCGTCTTCTGTGGTACAGAGATTGTTTGTGTTCAAATCAATTTCTTCCGACATATTGTACAGCTAAGTCCACTTTGTCAAACATGAAACTAATACACATTATAAGCTCAGGCACTACACGTTAAACAAAAACATTCGAGAAGTACCTTGGTACTGTTTTAAAAAATAATGTAGAATGCAAAATCTAACTTTTTGTTGATATAAGAAGCATCAATCCACCGAGACAAAAAAACTACCATTCTCTAGAATAATGTTACCAGTGCTAGCAGCTCTGGTAATATTATCTACCAAAGAATATATATATTATTTTATAAAAATTGTCTACTACCAAGAGCACAAAAACAACTTTATTATTCATGACTCCCTAGGTCAGGTTTATCAAGTCAATACTTTTGCCATGTCACACACACTATAGACGGTTAGTTGCACAAACGTCCATTTATGTTTAATGACACCTTTAAGCTCTAACGAATGTCAAAATTTTATAGGTAATGTAGCTTTAAACTTGTGACAATTTCAATGAACGTTTGTGCAATTAACTGGAAGTTGCTATACTTTTAAACTATCGTTATTTTATTGAAAGAATACACGACTGCATGCCAGGCTATCACAATTAGTCAAATAAATGAGGAAGTAGCACCTCACTAGATGATGAGTCTAGCAAAAGTTGTATTTTCAGGAAACGAAAGGACCAAAGATAATCATTTCCGTTCCTTTTGACTAACATAATAAAAAACTGAAATTTGCAAAGCTCGAGACTCAGATATGAATACAAATACGAAAAAGGTGTAAGGTGCTGTTTTAGAGCTTTCTTTTTTTTTAATGCTACTTCATTGATAATACATAATTTTCATCTAAATCATAGCAATGAGTGGCTGGGTTAGCTATAATAAATTATAATTTACTATGAAGCACTACATCCGTGACTAAAAACAATTAATCGATACAAGAGCAAGTGTCAAATTGGAGTTCATTCCACAACAATCGATAGCGAGAAGACTAGCATCGTCACAGCCATCTATAGCAAGACGAAATGCAATAAGTTTCAACAGCATGTAACGAGATGGCGCTGTACCAATACAAGCAGCATAAATTAATAACTACAAGGCATTTAGAACAAAGAAACCTACATCGCACAGAATAAGTTTCATTATCAATTAGCATAATTAGAACGTCCAACCTACATCGGTTGGACCCCCCAGCGTCCGACACGAGAGTCCAGGGCGATTCTACGACGGAGTGGAGACACCCCCCCGTGGGGTGATGCCCTCTTAGTAGATAGTCCCAAAGACGATCGTCATCTCGGCTTGAGGTCCTCAGGATCACGCCGTCCCTTAGTCCGGTTACACTGTAAAGGCCATCTAAGGCCAACAGTAACACACACTCAAAAAAAAAAATAGGTTGGACCGCGGTCCTCGGGCTAACAACACCTAGCTTGGAGGGAGACAATTATCCTTTAGTCTCCCTGGCCAGTTGTCTCCATCATCACAGCAGGGACCACACATTGCAACCATTACCGTTCCTAAAAGTATTTAGGAACCGTAAGATTGAAGGTTGGATCCAGGAAGCGTCGTCGATGCTGCTGTGATGGACCTTGGTGTTGGCTGGCTTGCTGCTGAAGTGACTGTGCTGGTGAGGGATGAGAAGCTGGTGATGGAGGGTGAGAGGCTGTTGATGAAGAGTGATGGCTGCGTTGTGATGCTGAAGGTTGCTGATGTTCTGCTGGGGTCACCACTTTAGGAACCGTAAGATTGAAGGTTGGGTCCCTACTGTGGTGATGGAGACAACTGGCCAGGGAGACTAAAGGATAATTGTCTCCCTCCGAGCTAGGTGTTGTTAGCCCGGGGACCGCGGTCCAACCGATGTAGGTTGGACGTTCTATTTATGTTAATTGGTAATTAAACTTATTCTGTGTGATGTAGGTTTCTTTGTTCTAAATGTCTTGTAGTTATTAATTTATGCTGTTTGTATTGGTACAGCGCCATCTCGTTACTTGCTGTTGAAACTTATTGCAGTTCGTCTTGCTATCGATGGCTGTGACGATGCTAGTCTTCTCGCTATCGATTGTTGTGGCGATGTTACTGCGAAGAATTAGATGTCGCTATGTATCAGTCGCCACAAGTATTTAAAAAATTTGTTCTTGAAATCAAACTAGATGTCACCAGCGATATTCGGATAATTGTCTATGATATTCATTCATTTTTTTTTCTGACCTGAATAAATATGACATCGTTTCGTGTTGCATATAATATCTAACTTCCAAATTAATTTTAATTTATTTTAGTCGTAAGTTAAAGTAATTTATTATATTATATGTAAAGGAACGCTGTTTGATTTATATGTCAACATAAGTGATGAGCCAACTTATTAGTTGCTTGTAACTTCATTTGACTCGGTTCATCTGAATTCAGGTTTGGAATGAAAAACAAAAAGCGTAGCGCAGAATTCAGCTTGTTTTTTATCCGCAGTTTTCCATATATGCCATTGTGTATCCACACGTTGAATGATATTAATATAAATATTAAAATCAATTCAGTCTAGGCTGTTACATAGCACTTTTGAAAGTCGAAAACTATGCCAAGGGTTCGCAAAACTTATGATAGCACTAAGAAAAAAAAATTATCAAGAAAGAAATTATGATCTTCAACAGACAGACAAATGTTTGTGTTGTAGTCCTATATGTAAATATATGTGTACGATTTTTACCAACCGGGCGGCGGTGAAGAGCGTAATTTCAATTCAAGGAAATTCAAACTTCTATACAATAGGGTATGTGACATTATTAAAAAAGAGTTGCGTGTTATGGTCATCCTGATGGATAATCCTTTTTAATATTCTTTGTTTGGATGTTTGTCCGTCAATCACGCTGAAAGTACTGAACACATTTTGATGAAATTTGGCATACAGATATGGTATTAGCTTACTTAGATAATAGGATTTTTACCCCACTAATCATTTTTATAGAGACCAGTCGGGCGTAGCCGCTGGCGAAACTTAGTAATCTAATAAAGTTTATTTCTTAGAATCTGCAGACAAATTATGTTAGCTTTAGGGAAATAACATAAAGAAAAATACACGATTTTTAGGAACTCAATGAACGATGAAAACGCCTTGTAAAGAGTTGTCATCGCAACCTATAACAGGTCCTATTTACTGGCATGTGACTTAACACGTAAACAGGAAGCTGTCATGTCTAAGCAGTGTTATTAGTGATACGCAAAATTTGTATTTCAACGTACAATTTTGCTACTAGCCAGAGTGCCAGAGCAGCGTAGACAATTCTGTAAATATGTACTCGCCACCCATAATTAAAACTACTATTTTTACAATCATCTAACAGCAACAACATTGTCGTTCAGAATCATTTAGATAATAAACTATTAATAAAAAAAATAAAAAATAATCATTTAGATAGATAATTTTCATAACATAATTTCTTGCTAATATTAAGAAAAGGCATTTTGTATTTATTTATTTTACTGATTAACGTAAAACATTTATAAGTAAAGGAATCCATTTGATTGATCTAAAAATTACAATTAACAGAAGTTGCTGAACGATTAAATAAATGTCAACTAGTTCTCTTATTCTTCTGTAATGTCAATTGATGTCACACACACAACGTCGATTGGGTTGGATTTGTTGACCATTGTTACACTTACGCAAATAGAAAATGTTTCACAGTTTGTCTTAGTGAATAAATAACTTCTCAAATTCAATACTTATTTGCATTCAAACCTTCAGACTGTTGGATTTGCTCTGTATAATAAAAAAATCAATAAATCATCAAATGTTCGCATATCAAAATGTATTTCCCTATTGGATGGCCCAAAGTTCTCAAGAATGTGGGTGCTGATAATCAAATTATCAAACAAATCGTGTCTAACAGAGACAAAATCCTTTTTGCCTCTCTTAGTGACGATTGTCTTGTTGTATGGTATTGTAAGGTAAGTCTATAATCTTGGCAAGTTCCTTCACAACATTAGAATTTTTAACATGTTTTAAAGATTCCTATATGAAATGTTTTTGTTTTCTTAACTCTAAAGTCCAATACTTTTTCAGCCTTCGGTCCCTGTAGTATACCATAAAAGGAGCACTGAATCTATACAACGATTGGGTGTTAATGTTGGTGTAGAATGGAAACCAGATTCATCAATGATATGTATTTCGGTATGTAGTATAATTATCATGCTAATATTATTACTCCTCTAGCAATCGTTTGGTTTGCTTGTTTTTGAAGAATGATAATAGCAACAAAAATAACTTTGATCCTGTAGGGCTTATATAGGCATGTCACAGTTAAATAATGATTAGTAACACTATATTAGGCATATTATCAATATTGAGTTATTATGCATAATATCTACTTTCTAAAATTCCTCATCTAAAATATGATTAATTATTGGTAATATATATATTATATATATAAATATATCAGATTTAATTCATGTATATCTTTAAAATAAAAATATAAAAAGATGTTGTCTACACCCCTATTCTCTATTTAACATATTCTCTGAGGATGTGTTGCAAGTTCTCTATTATACTATATATTAAAATCCAAAAATGGTTAAGGAGGATAGGCCATGACCCTCCACGCTGGCCCAATGCAGATTGGAGGGTATTAACGACTGCAAATGCAGCCGGGAACAACGGCTTAACATGCCTTCCGAAGCACGGAGTAGCTCGAGATAATAATTTTTTGGTCACCCATCCTGTGACCGACCCTTGCGAAAGATGCTTAACGACAACGATCGCGGGCCGCGGCGCTTATCCACTACGCCACCGAGCTACTCCTAAAAAAATGTTCTGATATAAGTTCTGATATTACTAAGAGGGGTGCAAAGTTATGTCCGGTTTGGGTTCACATGTCAATGAATATAAAATATTTGATTTTTCCTAATTAATTTAAGCAATATTGTAAATATAATAAGCAAAAAAGTGTGATTATTGGTAATAGTATATAAAACACTACCAGAAAGAAAATGTATTTATTTTTGTTTACTCTCTGCACCCATATTGTAGTAGAAGCATTTTTAATAATTGAACATAATGGAACTACACTGATTGAGCTTAATTAACTGTGGGGTCGGTTGAAAGCAGTATGTATATTCACAATAAAATTGAAAGTTTGAAGCCAAATCTTCTCATTAGGTTCAATATGAATCTATTAATTACTTTCAACAATCCCGAGTAGCTAATTTAAATATCTTATAGATAAACTTATCACATTATTAAAAAACTATAAATACAGTTTAGTCATTTGTCAAAGCAGAATTTGCTAACTTTGGAGATTTTTTTTTAAACAAGTGTTGTTTACTATACTGACAAATGCATAAAAACAGAATTTTATATACCAGCAATATATTTTTGCACATGTGACAAGGTTGAATATATACATTAAAGAGATTGAAATAAGAAATTAATCAGATATTTTATCAAACAAAAGATGTTAAAATAATAACTTCATTTTAACATTTTCCTAAATGTAGTTTAATCAATGACAAATGAACTTCAATAAAAACCTTGAAAGAATAAATTATTTATTTTATTTCAGACATCTGAAGGTCATTTGATTCTTTACAATGTTGAAGGCTTGAGTGAACAGACAGCTTATCAGCAGTATGACCCGCCCACGGCTAGCCTCAGGAGGGACTCTGCTGAACTATTTGTCAAGGAAGTGATACCATCACTGCAGATTCAATTGGTCTGTTGTTATAAAAAATATTATTAATGATAATATGCTTTAGAACAGTGTCGTAACTATACCATTTAAGTCCCGTGGCAGATTCATGGGATATTCGTTTTTTTTTAATAATGGGGATGATGACTAATTTTTGTTTGTTTGTCTGTCAGGTAGAGTGTTAAAAAATATTAAACACATATTTTTTTATTTTTTTCGTAATCATAAAATTACGGCGTTACATTGAGTTGAAATTTCGCATGACGTCACGTTGGAGTACGTTTTCTACTCTAACTGTGACGTAGCGAGCACCCACTCCTCAACTTTAATGCCTGTTATCTAAGCTATTTCTCGTTAAATTGAAGTAAAAAAAAAATATGTATCTAATATTTTTCTATTATCTGACTGACGGACTAAATAGAAGTGCATTTTTTTTACCCAGTCATCATCCCTATTGTGTAATAATAAATGTCAGGAGTTCCCTACTCCTGACATTTATTCTGGAGACCTGGGGCCATTCAGCTGGAAGTGGCCCCAGGTCTCCTCTGACCTGGAGCCACTTCCAGCTGGGGGCCTGTGGCATTTTGCCGACTTACCACCCTATAGTTATACCACTGCTTTAGAAATAAGTATCCGACATGGATAATATCCTAATAATTTCCTCATTAAAAATGTGTGAGTTACTCAACCCTATCCATAGAGAAGGCGCTAGTAAATTGGAGACATTAAAAGGATGGATGATGATAAATACTATCGAAATTATTATACCGAAATAGTATCGATACTATCATTATATCAAAGTAAAAACTGTGAAACTATCATACTATTGATAGTTTCATCATCATAAGATACCATCCATACTACTATACTATTGTAGTAATAAATACTGTATTGCATTATCAATAGTATCGATACTATTAATATAACGTCAAATGTAGGCAACTCTAGCGCACTATTGAATAAGTCCATACAAACTTTTTACATTCACTCTTTTTTACAGCTTAAAGAGGTATTAGTATGGGACGGGCAAATTACACGGATGTGCTGCATATCTGGTACAGAGATCCTAGTGTGTACCACTCGCGCACATCTTTTACGATATCGTTGGGATGGGACACAAAATAGGGACTATTGTCTCGATTTAGGTCGCATACCATTCTCCATTAACCAACAAGTGTCCAAAGGTAATTTTCATAAAAAAGTATTTCATGGTAAACTGTACTGCTACAGTTTACTATTTAATTATTGAATGCTTAGTTTATTGTAATCAATTACCTCTATATTTAATTAACATAAATTACAAATAACAGAATACTTACTAAATAAATACTTTATAGAAACCATTAATGAACCATCCGTAATAACCGTATTTTCATTTAATTATCGTGTAGGAATAAGAGCAAAGAAATTATTTAATCATTATTTTCAGCGGAACCTATCTTGGAGGATAATACGCATGTCAACGACATAGAGTATTCTCCGTTAGTCTGTGGTTTTGGGATAACACTAAACGATGGACGCGCGGCTTACCTCACCGCACCAAATCTTAAATTTGACCCAAATGTAAGTCTGACTAAATTATATAAATATTCTTCATACATTGAATTGGAACACATTGAGAATTTGAACTATTTCTGTTTTACTATTTATTATTCAGCATATTTGACTACGTATTATAACAAATGCATTATAACAAATAAAACAAATGCATTATACGTATTATAACAAATAAATAAAAAAAAGGAGATCAGGCAAGAAATTAAATTGTTTTTGATTTAAAAGTTTATAAATTTTAAAGATACTTTGTTAATTTTTTTAGAATAATAATTTATTTAAATTTTTAAATCTATTTACATAAATATTTTCCGGTTTAGCCTTGTGAATGCGCATTTCATCAAAATATTTCTTTTTTTTCAATATTTATAATCTGTGTCTCACGTCAAACGAAACACCAAAGTGCGTGACATCATTGGTAGGGAAACTACGCAGGTGTGGGTAAAAAAACGCGAGAAACATTTTAAATTTAAAATAGTTTTAACGGTTTACTGTATGTTTAACAAGTTACAGAGGTTATTTTTGTTTTATTTATTCATGTATTTGAATGGCAATAAGTTTTTTTTACTGAAAATTCCTTTCGTTTGTCCTCACAAATGACGTCACGTTCTCCGAGTCAAGCAGCTTTTTTAGACCGTTAAATTTTAAACATAGTTTTTTATGGTTTCATTATGACTGTTATTTACATGAAATATATATTGTTTGCGGCAATAAGCATTCATTAAGTTAAAACAGTTTTCTGATCCCCTAGTACAGTTTTAATCATTAAATAATTGGTTTGCTAACATAATTTATAAAAATTATGATGTTGATGATTACTGAAATAAAAGAAAAAATTTTTTTCATGATACCATTATTTTTCATATCTCAGATATTGTGGAATACAGATTTGTGGGTAAGATTTTGTGTTAGAAAGGTGTGAAATGTGGTTACCACCCTCACAAATAAGACCCTGTATCATATCATAGTATGCTAAGTTTTAAATTTTTCCATATTAGTGAACTAATTGCACTCGGTGACAGCTTAAAGCAATAAAAACTTTTGTATCCTAACCCTGTACTTTGGCTATAACGAGTTTGTGTAATGTGGTGTGAATTTTTCATTTTAAATGGCGTTTATTTTTTTTTTTTACTTTGAATCAAAATTTCAAAAAATTTCAATGTACTTGTGTTTATTTCTTTGGATTAAGATGAATATAAAGGCAATATGAACAAAATTACTATCCAAAATATGTGAATCATTGATGAGATTCAATATAATATAAAAGCTAGATAAGTAAAAGCTAGATATTAAAGTTTTATCTGCCTTTTATATGTGTTAAGATCAATATCCTAAAGGTTTTCACTTTCAGGCTGTACAAGGTGTATGGGCGCCGGGTATCGACGACGCGACTTGTGTACGAGTAAACCACAAGTTTAGATTAATTGCCATCGGTAGGAAAAAGTATGTGTTTTTTCGCTTATGATGTCTTTTTGGTAGAAGTTTTATACTAATATAATGATATGCAAAAATAAAAATTATATATATAATGTTTAAACATTTTGTAAAAACTGAATTAGGTATCACACCCATTTTTAAGTATGTCAATCAGATAGCTTCGAATTGAGGTCCTAATAAACCTCTAAAATGACGTCATATTGCTCTGCAGTCGTAACGTCAGTTGACGTTGTAAGCCTACATTTCCTACTACCACAGAATAATACAATATCGAAACTAAGAACAAACGGTCGAAATCATGTGCACAAGAGACGCACGCATTTACAGCAAGACTGTTAGACGTACCTTAAAAATAACACGAAAATATTGTGTAGTTTACGAATGTTTAAATTCGACGTAAAATTTATTAATTATATCGCAGGATGAGTTTGTACAATACGTTGCGAAGATAGATGCCGTTTCTCGCAGTTGTTTTAGTAAAGAAAACATTAACTGTAAAAATAGCGGAATTAATAAAGAAAGAAATAGATGCGATCCTTTTAATACCCCTTGTCCCTATTGCGCAATAGTTTATTTAAAAAATATATATATAAGAATAAGGATTTTTACACCATAAAATTCAATAATAAAGCGTTCAATACTTGTCATAACATACGAAAATACTTTTCAGTGTGTAATATATAACAAAGTTTAACAATCAAAATCTTTTAAAAATGGTATAATATTGTTTTATTAGTATTATAATATTGTGTTATTAAGTTAGGTATTTATTTTCAGAATTCGCTCAAATTTCGCTACTGTATTCTGTGCAACTACTGGATAGAGTGTTATTTTTAAATAAACATCTTTGCTTACAGTTCTCAAATAGACGTTTTCACGATAGACGAAGCGACGGGAGGTCTAGAGCTGTCGCATACGATGGTGCTCAGTTCCAAAGATTTTCCGGGTGACCCTGGACCTGTCAAGTGTTTGAGGTTTTTACATATTTGTTTATAATACTTAAGTTTATGTTATGAACATTAATGTAAACGGGAATATAAAGATTCACCTCTGCTATATAATCTTTGTACAAGATGTGTCAAAGATTATCTAACAGACTCGAATATTTGGATGACGACTAATCAAGAAGGAAGAAAAATACAGGTTGTTACTACATACCACAAATGAAAGAATTTTGCCTCCCTACTACAAATATAAGGAAATGTTATAATATAAATTTAATATTATAAAATAAATTTCTTATTTCAAACTTTTTAGAACATGATTTAGCTGTAGTCGGGTTATAGCTTTGAACTTTTTTTTCGTTTTAATATATAATGGACACTGAATTGGTAGAAATAATTAATCTCACATTCTCTTCATTAATAAAATAAAATAAATAAATTTAATGAAGAAAATGTCAAGTATACTGGCGATTTACGAAACGATGCTGTTCAATAAGGATTTTAATCAACCAGGAATGGCCAGGTTGGGTTATTTGACTCGGAATTAAATAATCAGTTTTATAAATGCATAAAGATAGATATGTTATGTTTAAGACATTTTTTTTTAAATTTTAAACTGTTTTAGATTTTTTTTGTAGCCAAAATGGCATTAACAAAAGATAAGTACTAATTAACCTAAAGTGGATGCAAATCTGACGAAATATCCATCAAGTGTCTGCGTGAGTACGGGACGGAAATACCGTTGACTATGCAAGCTCGAATATGATTTATCATTCCAACGACTTCTTTTGTTCAGTTTTTTTTCTGTTTTAATGGGCCAAGAATTTATATGATTTGAAAAGTATGTTTATATGGAAATTGGTTTTGTAGATGGACAGCGGACGGTCGCGCGGTGGCCGTGAGCTGGGAACGCGGCGGCGTGTCTGTGTGGAGCACGTTCGGTGCTCTGCTGATGTGCTCCCTCGCGTGGGACTACGGGCTGAGCCAGGACCTCACCCGACACAACCCTCTCGTGGTGGTCAGCCTGGTCAGTGTACACACTATTGTAGGTAGGGACTCAGTCAGGACCTCACCCGCGACAATCCACTCGTGGTGGCCAGCCTGGTCAGTGTACACACTATTGTAGGGAGGGGCTCAGCCAGGACTTCACCCGACACAACCCTCTCGTGGTGGTCAGCCTGGTTAGTGTATACACTATTGTAGGTAGGCACTCAGTCAGGACCTCACTCGACACAATCCACTCGTGGTGGCCAGCCTGGTCAGTGTACACACTATTGTAGGGAGGGACTCAGCCAGGACTTCACCCGACACAACCCTCTCGTGGTGGTCAGCCTGGTTAGTGTACACACTATTGTAGGTAGGGACTCAGTCAGGACCTCACTCGACACAATCCACTCGTGGTGGCCAGCCTGGTCAGTGAACACACTACTGTAGGGAGGGAATCAGCCAGGACCTCACCCGACACAACCCTCTCATGGTGGTCAGCCTGGTTAGTGTACAAACTATTGTAGGGAGGGACTCAGCCAGGACGTCACTCGACACAACCATCTCGTGGTGGTCAGCCTGGATAGTGTACACACTATTGTAGGGAGGGACTCAGCCGGGGCCTCACCCGATACAACCCTCTCGTGGTGGTCAGCCTGGTTAGTGTACACACTATTGTAGAGAGGGACTCAGCCAGGACTTCACCCGACACAACCCTCTCGTGGTGGTCAACCTGGTTAGTGTACACACTATTGTAGGTTGGGACTCAGTCAGGACCTCACCCGAGACAATCCACTCGTGGTGGCCAGCCTGGTCAGTGTACACACTATTGTAGGGAGGGACTCAGTCAGGACGTCACTCGACACAACCATCTCGTGGTGGTCAGCCTGGATAGTGTACACACTATTGTAGGGAGGGACTCAGCCAGAACCTCGTCGTGGTTCATATAGTAAAACGAAGATTTTTTAAGTAACCTATGCTGCATTGGCCTATTAGGGTTGCCTTTTTATTAAAAGTAGTGATTAAACAATATTAAAATTTTAAAAGATTTTTATTGATTGTAATTTGAGTTGCACACTGAATAGTATTTATGTCCGTTACGACTCGTTCTGAATGCTTTATAATTGAATTTGGCTGTTTTGATACAGACTTAATCAATTCGGTGCAATAACTAAGAATTTCAAAATGATGGTAGATGTTATTTTTCTGTTTGTCATATTAATTTTGGAGATTAAAACGATCAGAGAAAATGTGTGTTTGGAAATATTTCCTAATTCAGAAAGTTACAATATATAATATAATTAGATTTTTTTTGTCAATTAAAAATAGGCAATTATTTCAGTTATGTAAACACATTTGCCAACTATCTTATCAATATAAACATTCTGACTACTATATTGTACACATCTTTTGATATTGATTATTGTACGATATTAAGCAGGGGTTGGCGACTCACCGCAAGCGATCCTTTACCGCCACGGGTTCCGAGGGCTGGGTTCTGGAACGGGGTGCGTCGACGCGGTTACCAGCGAATATATCATACACGATATATAGTCCATAGGCACTGATCCACCGTTCTTCCGAAATGTCCTTATTCTCGATAACGAACAATTCACCAAGCTCAATCAAAATTAGGTGCGCGCAGTTAACAATTTGAAATCACAGTAGTAAACCGTCACCCAAGGATTAAGGGTGGGGATTTGGAACGAAGACAGCTAATCGCCTTGCCCATAGACAATAAAAATTTTACCCACAGTTGTGTTGTCTTTGTATAGCCAATTATCAATGATCTGTTTCGTTACGGAACATGCCGCTCACCTTAAAGGAACGTGCCTTTAACATTAAATGAACAAATTGAATATTAAATTTAGAACAAAATAAAATATAAATAAAAAACTTAGAACTAAGATTCGATATGCAACGATTAATTGTTTATTCGATAGGGAGTGGACACACCTTTACAACAGGTCGCTTGTAAAATGTATTGCCCCTTTGT